AGGAAGCTGATATGGGAAACTGAGACTGAAAACTGAAATAGACACACGTGCTGCTTCTGTCAAATTTGTCCCAAATTCAATCCGAGGATGTTCTAACTATATTTTGAGAGGCGTCAAATAGACAGTCTCAAGTATGTGAATTGTCTATGAACACCTTCCTTCACCTTCCCTTTCCATCTAGGCCAAGACACGACTCGCTTGTTCGAATTTCCTATTTTTCAACTTGTTTTCAAAATCGCCTGCTTTTCCGATTGACTGCCAACCTTGATACAAGAATGAAAACGTGGGAGGTATTCCCGTACGAAAATGTAATCACGGTCATTTTCAGCCACATCGCAGCTGAGCTCGGTCTATTGTACGGTTTTTTCAGAGATTTGCACTGATGCAGAGTACCCCGTCATTTGATTTTTTCCGCAAGATAAGGGATGAGAATTCGCTAAAAGTGAAAAAAAAAAACGATCTTCGGAGGCTGCAATTTAAACAGTTGCAGAAAGAAGCTTGGAAAAAATTTCAGTTTTCGACGGGATTTGGACCCTTGTCTCCTAGACACCAGTTCACTCGAACCAACTAACCTACGAAGCCACACTGCCATACAATTGGTTGAAGGGAGTTTAATTGTGAATTCCTTGGTACCCGCCTAACTGGCGCTAGTCTGGGAGGAACGGTTTTGAATACCTTACAAGTGCGAATCTTATCAAGCTTCTATTTTGCAATGACTTTCAATGCAGCCTACTTGCAAAGATCGTTTCTTAACTTCTGTGTTATTGATACTTAAGAGCTACTGACCATGAATATCGAGAATCCACCGACAGTTGTAAAATTTCGTACTTCGTTTTATCTTTCCTAAACGACCTTTTACTTGAACCTTATCGTATCGTGCTTTCTCCGAGGAATCGAAACGTTCATAATACGGCCAGATGACCATTGTCCTCCGCGTTAGACAATGAAAAATAATTTAACAGCTTTAAAAGCTGTTTTCTAGCTAAGACAGCAAATGATCTTTTAATATTTTTGAAAATATCAATTTCTTGTTATGTTGGTGCTTTCAAGTTTAAAAAGTGACCCATTAAAATATTGTACTTCGTGTCTTATTCGCAGATGATCTTTTAATATTTTTGAAAATATCAATTTTAGATAAGAGTATGTGAACACGGTGTGGCGTCACGCATTAATATGAAAACATTTTTAAAAACTCGAGGCTTTCCCGAAATGCTCGCAAAATAGGCTCAAGAACAAATAACAAATACTAGAAATGGAGGTAAAATTTGCCAAATTTTGATTTGAGGATTTGCTATCCCTTCACGCCAGAGCCCAAGGGAAAAAAAAACAAACAAAAAACAAAGAACTTCAGCGCTTTGCCTGCCTTGATGATCGTGAGCTGGACGACGTCGTCGATGGAACGTTCAAGCAAATACGACAAATTATGCAATCAAATGCGGAGTAAAAATTTTACCAATGAAATTTTCGCATTTAAGGTGGCTGGAAATAGTTTTTTCGAGACGCCTAAGGACTATATTCAAAGCGCTCAAAAACCAACTTTCCTTCTTCGCGGTCAAACCAATTTCACACGTGTTAACCAGAGGTTTGAAGTTTGAGATTGTGGGCGTGTCATGACAATCGCTATTATTTTGCTTGTGTTGATCAGCGTTTGGGAACGGTCTCGAAAATTCCTGGATAGATTTTCTCACAACTCCAGGATTTTCTTTATTGAGATAATGCCTCGCTGCCGAACGTATTTCAACAAATGAAATTTATCCGTTTCAAAATTATGACGCCGTTGATTTTACTCTTGAATTTTTTCAGTTTCTACGTGAAACTATTTTCAGAAAGAACTCTAAAGAGTAACTCCCATTTGCGAAAGACCAACTCCCATTTTCAAAAAACCAACTCCCATTATCGACGAAACAACTGCCGTAGAAAGCGGCACTTTATAGCTTAAAGCTAGAGTGAGGGTGATCTAAAGTGAGGACTATAACCTCCCACCACTCTCTACACCCTGACATCAGTATGGTTATCCTCCATACTGTCCTCATACATTTCCTAAGATGCTGACAGGGACAATTTTTTGATAATCAGGAGCCTCTGTAGTTGGTGATCATTTTCTTTGTTCTCATGACCATAATGTTTGATTCAGGTGGTGATATCGTGCAGAGAAATTAGCTGCTGGTCATTCTTAGGGGTTAAACCATTTTACAAGTACATAGATTTTAAAGTGTGATGCAGGAGTGATATTGTATGGAGAAGTAAGATGTTGGTCACTCTTAGGGGTCAAGAGTTGACTTATTAGTATAACCAGAAGCTTATAACTGAGTCATAAGGTAAAAGTCCTATAACCAATTAATTGAGCTTACCGTAGTTCTTCACCTATAAGCCGAGCGATTTTTTCAGTAAACGGGGTTCGGCTTATAGCCGAGGGTTTGGGATTCAAAAACAAGTACAATTGCAAATTTAATGTTAATGCGAAATGACCATAAATTTCTTTTGTGTTTATTTTAATTCATTAACTTTTGTGTTCAGTGTTCAGTGAGCCATTTCCCATTGTTTTTCCATGAGGTCCGCTCAATCAAATGGCTGGTTACAATGTAGAATTTCGCTCTCGGCTTATAGTCGATGGTTCTGCTTTCTTTTTCGCACAGCACGAGTCTGTTAGAAGGTCTCTCATTTTTGTGGTCTCGGCTTATAGGTGAAGAGATACGGTAGATCAAAGTGTGGAAAAATCACAGCCACAATAAGTAAGGAAAGGAAAAGTACCCTTTTAGAGATACGAACATTCCAGACTAGACTTGCAAGAGTGGTCGAGTTCAATCGTAGGAAATCACTGATGGACAAAATAATTCTAGTTTATTTTTTTTAGAGGGCACGGTGACGAATCCTGCAATCTGATTGGTTCTTTACCCAGTCAGTATTTTCCTATCTCTGCCCATGGGCCACGGTAACGCTTTCGTGAATCGCTTAGTACATCCCAAATTTCGTTGCGATTTTTCATAAATATATCTCGTTTTTCCGGCTGGGCAGCATTTTTAAGCAAACACGTCGGTCACTACCTCAAGCCGATAAATAACTTATGAATCCTCTCTTTTCTCTCTCTCAAACCACTTTGGTTGACAGAAAAATATTGGTTTCAGAATGAATTTGTTTAAGTAGTAGTGTCATTACGTTGGTTGAAAAGCGGCCTAAAAACCGTCTGCAATTAATTTTAATCGTTCACAAAAAGTACCTAGAAAGTTAAAAAGTGAGGTATCTGGTTACGGTTAAACTGAACGATGGAACTTTCATTCGTTTAATATCTGAATTTTCTCAAACAATTTGTTCGTAGTGAAAGAGCGAGCGAAGTTTTATATTCAGTTCTTCAACAAATATACGCTCTCGGTGAGTCTTTCCGATTCCATTCAATTTGTACCTTTGTATCGTAAATTGCACAACAGAAACTGAAGGAATTTACAGAGAAAAGGCCGCATTAAATCCCCTTGTGTCTAGTTGGAGTGTGCCATTCGAATTTAGTTTTTGTGGAGGAAAGACCAGATTTACATACACCATTGCAGCAAACAAACGAGCAAACTCTCACAACTTCAAAATAAAAAATTTGAATTTACTCACAATTACTTTCCTCGCCGTTTACTTAATGTACAGAGGTAAATCTTCGTAAATGAATGAATCGTCGATGAGAGTGAATAATACTTTCCGCCAGATCGTTGAATGTTTTTGAAGAAAACATTGTTGTAACAGTCCTCGCAAAACTAGTTCAGTTGTTCTTGAAACGTTCTTGCGCATTTTTTTTTCTTACGTGCTCTCTAATTGACAGGTGTCAGATTGTGACAGATACTTGTTAAAAATGTTTCAAAGTTTGTTTGGAAGCCTCTTGAATCACCTTTATCCTTATGCAAATAAAAATGTTTCGGTGAGGCATCTCTCATAAATTTGCATCACCTCTATTTTAACTACCATTTACGCGCTCAAAAATTGTTTAGTTTGTGGGAGATCTTGCCGTATTTACAGCCCTAAATCATTCGGGTTCTTTCGGAAAGAATTTCGTCTAGTTTAATTAAAATGAAATAAATATGTTATTTACCGGCTAAGGGTCGGTCCGTTTGGTGAAAAACTGTGACCTCGGTCTTGAAAATGCTGTATTTTCAAGACCTCGATCACAGTTTTTCACCATACGGACCGACCCTTTGCCAGCAAATAACATATATATCATTTGTTCGTTAATGAGTTGTTCTATTCCACACTTAGCCAATTGCATTGTTTTCCTTTGCTTTAGATCATTGATCTGTTGTGAAATAGCTGAGAAAAACATGCTATGATCAGTTTAATTTGCTCATCTCTGTTTTGAAGCGGAACTGGGACCTTCTTGCTTTGAATTCTTTCTTGAAGAAATGTAAAATGGTTTCCGTGTTTACATAGCCTGATGTAAACACGGGTAAGTACTAAGACAAGGAACGACCTAAAACCACCTACAACCATCTCAAAAACATCTACAACCACTTGCAAACAATCTTAAACCATCTAAAACAAGGCATAAATGTCTAAAATAAGGCGAAACAACATGTCACGTACACGAAATACGAGAATCGAACGAAACCTCTACCTCCCCCTGAAATCTTACTCTCTCTGGTCCCATGTATAATCAACCATCTCACGAAATGAAATGCGATAGCATGCTAATTATTTTATATTCCCTCAGCAAAAGACTTAAAGAACTTTACAAAATGAACTAACAAGTTACAAAAAATAATAAATTGGGAATAATACATGGGCGCGCGTAGATATGGAATTAATCTTCGAGTGTTTAACTCGATAGCTCACGACTCAACTATTGAATTATTTTATAATGATAAATGATTAATAACTGTGGACTAAGAGGTCAATTCTCATTTTCTAGAAACATATGATGCTTCACTTTAAATAGCTGATTGACATTAGGGTGCAGAGAGGAGGGAGGAGGCACTTTTCAAATGAAGTTTACCTATTCTTCATTCAACACAAGACCACAAGACTTTATCAGCAATAGTTTTATTTCTTATTTAAGACAAATAATGTGAAAAATCGGTTGTAGTCCAACATAAAGAATAACAATCAGGTAAAAAAAGGCCATGGTCCAACTCAAAGAGGAAAAACAGAAAGTGAAGTCAGTTCAGCTGAAACAATAAAAGACAAAAGTATGCTGTAAGTTTAAAATTGCACCTCCATCACTGTAGAATGGGACAAAAAAATAAACGGAAGGAGGAACATAAGGATGGCCTCACTGAACCATTTAACCTTTGCTTTTACTCAATTTTTTAGGCTTGACTTTTAAAGCTATCAACTTTTAAGTGTATAATTTTTTTTGTTATAATAATAATAATAATAATAATAATAATAATAATAACTTTATTTAAGTGTCAGTGTATTTTAGCACTGCTGTGCTAATTGGGGACACTGTAAATAAGGAAACAAATATCGTAAATGAACAGAAACTCGTTAAAAACCCCAACTGGTAGGAGGCAGACCAGTTGGCTATTTACAAAGCATGCAGGAGTTGAATTCGGGGCCACCGAAGACAAATCCATCCAGTGGCAGGGAGGAGGACTTGAACCCGGGACCTCCGGCTTACAAGTGCAGCGCCCTAACCACTAGGCCACGCTCGCCTCCTTATTGGTCATCAAAAATGCTCCAATGTTTTTGCCTGGGTTGTCTTCATCTTCATGCTGTCGAAAACGTGAAAAAGCTGTACCATGCTTCCTTATAGACTCACAATTTATTTGCTTGATTCAACAATTTTGCTACTGCACTTTGGTTGACTCCCACTCACAACTCTTGGCTTATTAGAAGGAAACACACTCAATGTCCCGTTACAAGCACGTGGAACAGTGCCATATATGGGATGATAAAACACATGCTGCATACAGGTTTGCTTAGTTATGTATAAATAAACAAAATCCCTTAGAAATGTTGTTGTTGTAGAGAAATTGAGAATAATTAACATATTGTACAGTTTCCAACAACAAAGGCCATGTTCAATCAATACTATGCTCCATTAGACTGCAGGATGTACTTTGAAAACTAGAAGTTAAAATACCAGAAAACAAAATAGTATTCATCTTGCAAAATATATAATATATATATAATATAATATAATATATATATATTATATATTATAATATATATAATATATATATAAGGAGTATGTACAACACCAATAGGTTTATGATCTTATATATTTTTCTCCTGACCTTAATGGCACCCAGAGGTTGGTGAGAATGAACTTCTGAAGCCATTTCCAGAGCCTTTTTTGCAAAAGCACTTAATAGACAAGACGTCTGAGTTTCCTTGCATGCAATATGCGTTCCTGTCACAAACCATTTGCCCCAGAAGTGCCATGCGTCCACTGCAAGGTTCTGAAGTAGAAAATGCAGTGAAGTCAAAATTACCACACTCATTCGCACAAGCATCCATGCCCTAATAAATGCCCTCCTCCAAATAAGGGCTCAGGCCTTGGGCCAATATATCAAACAAGCGCCATTCTCAAATAATTGGCTGCCCTCCTCCTCTTACTTTCTTAAATAGTAGGGATACAAGGACAACCTGTTTCTATTGCCGCTCCATTTATAACTTTTAACACTTCAGCAACAGTTGAATTAGGACAGGTTGATATTGAAGGAAATATGTTGTGTAAATTGTTCCATCAAATTCCATCACCATTATTTAATTGTAATTTACTATTGCACTGTACAGGAATAAGGTACAAAAGATAAGAAAAGGCAATTCTTTAAGTTGCTGACCAAAAATCTTAACCCTTTAACTCCCAGAAGTGGTTGACTTGTAAAATCTCCCTATAAAATCCATTCATTAACCAGCAAACAGGTAATGAGAATACTCAGACTTATCATCTTGAAGTTATCTTGATCTAACACTAATTTACAAGGAAATGTGAAGCAGTTAGAGGGGAGAATTAACAATCAGATCTTAAAATTTTAAAGGGTTAAGATATAACTCACTATAAACATTGAAGGGACTCAGATAAACTTTCCTTAAAAGACAAACACTTTGTTTCAATTGAAAGATGGAACAATTTTGTTGCCAAGAAAGGTCTGATTTATCAATCTTTTGCCTCTTATAATAATAATTACATAGTTTTTAAGATTCCCCCTTGCTTAAAGCATAGTGCTACCTGATCATGACTGATCATCTACTGAGTCTACTTTTATCCCTTTACATCAGTATGCATATTCTCCTTGCTGTTCTCTATGCATTTCCTGAGGTGCTAACAAGGAGAGTTTGTTTATTAATCTATTGGTCTTTTAGTTTGTGATAGTTTCCTTTACTCTCATGACTTTTAATATTTAATTCAGGGGAGATATTGTATGGAGAAATTAGATGCTCGTCACTCTTATGGTTTAAAGCATTAAACATTTATATATTATGGACCTTACGCAGTCAAGATGGCAATGCTGAGGTGGACATCAATTGAAAAAGATGTGTTTACTGACTATTATTGCACCACGCCTTGAGTTTCAGCGTTAAGTATGTTAGCACCCCAGAGTTGCAATTAAATACTTGAATAATTTGTTGTTGTGTTTTGTTCTCAGACCACAGAAATGTTGACAATTTCATGTTGTTGTTTTTTAGACAATGCCTGAGAAATGAACAAATTTAAAACAGCAATTGCTCTGTCCATTAGATCTCTTGTTTTGCAATATCCTTTTTGCCATTGCAGTTGTGGTTTGTTTAAGGTCCTTATTCTATTTGGCACCAAATTAGAGGTTACTTACTGATTTCCTGACTTCTGCTCCACATTCCCAAAATCCACCCTAGAAATAAAGAAACATGCTGTTGATCATGTTCACTTTTTTCTTGCATAACAAATTAATACATTAAGAAAAAACCTGATTCAAAAAGAAACTACTGATCTACAAAGATGAAATATTAACTTTGTTATCCCATCAAGTTGCCAACTCACCCATGGATACAATTACTTCAATAAGCTCATTAAAGAATTAGTCTTGTTTTAAGTGATGGTTTGATGTTTTGATAACAATTTGTTAACTTTACGCCCTTGCAATGCATACCAAAGTATTGGGCGAACACAGGGCGTAAAATTGTGCCTAATACAGGCGCTGATGTAACTAAATTTTTTACTTTGGCAACCAAATCCTGAAAATTAGTTGCCAAATTGGCAACTAGAATGTTTCTTAATAACCTTACCTAGAGATATAGTGAATTAAAAAGATTTGCAAAGATAAATCCACTGCAAACTTCCTCATTAAGTTTGTTTCCAAAATGCAGCACACACATTTCGACCAATAACTACATGCCATCTTGGATTTAGGTGAGCTTGAGGGTTGTATATCATCAATCCTAGTGTCCACTTTGTAGCACATTAAAGATCTTTTCCCTAACTTAATTTTGGAGGGTCTATCTAGAACACTGACAGCATAAAAAAAGGTTTTGTTTGTCTTTGAAATGGCAACCAACTTTTTTTGAATTGGCTACCACTTTGAAGAATTTAGGAGCCCAGTGGCTATCAGAAAAAAAAATTAATTTCATGCCCTGAGTTTCTGCACCATATCCTCATGAAAAGGAACAAGTCACATTCTCATTAACCATTAAGTAAAGTATGAAGATACTTTACAATCTTATTCATTCCACAAAATCCTCATGAAATTTGTTAAAAGAAAGTAATCACCTGAGAAGTTAATTTTATTCATTCTTATATTGAAGAGCTAGAAGAATCTTTGATATAATTCTTGATAAAAGTAAGGAGATTCAAGTTGTCAATATAAGAAAACCATTATCTTAAAAGTTGTGATTCGGTCAAAGAAAGTAATTAACTGAGGGATTAATTTTATTAATTCCCATATTGAATGTTTCTGTAAAGTCAAAGGTGACAGTAAAGATCAAAATGAGGTAAGGACCCCACTGACACCCTTGGCTGCTCATCATGTGACACTTTTTTGTTCTCACCACATATCACCGCAATCTGTAATCTACAAGTTAACCGACCTACAGCAACATGCAATCTATTTGTTGACTTCATATCTGAAACATTTGGCCACGTTATGTAGACAACCATCAAGGAAAAGTGCAGGGATACTCAGCGTTCTTTAATACACATCTGAGCTTTTCCTGAACTTAGGTTCTCTCAGAAAATTATGTTTTTCACTTGATTTCCATTGCTTGCTTATTTGCTGTTTTTATGTTTTTTGCCTGACCAAATGACTAAAAAAGGAAATAGGAAAGGATATATTTCGCATGGATAGCTCTAATCTTGTCTGCATGGTTAACTACCATGGGTCAGGTCAGACTATGACATTACGTTCATTATATGAAATACCATTAATGATGATCTTCTCACTTACATCTTTTCCCTCTCACACCTGGATAACCTTCAGGATTACCTTCCACTAAGAAAACAAAAAAATTGTCATTCAATTAACCTTCAGTGATTTGAAGGAGATTTGGGGAAAATTTTGTATGCAGCTTTGAAGCTTTGAGACAGGATTCAGTGAGTCTTGCAACTTAAAATAAGATAAATTTCTTGGCTTTAATAATCTTGAAGTTAGTTCAAAGACATCAGATTTGAAGAAAGAAGTTTGGAGTTCAAACTTTTGCAGAAGCATTTCCTTTGCACGCTTGTGACTTCTCTAACTTGATTGAACAAAATTTAACTGTTTTGCTGAGTTGAGAAGAGAGTAATTCAGTGTAATTGGACATGATACATTCCAGTCTTTGGAGTACACCAAGCCTGAGTTGTTCAAAGCTGAGTTTAGATAACCCATGGTTAGTCTGGAATTTGATTTCAGGTCTGAAAGCTTTAAAAGAAAATGCAGTTCAAATCTTTTTGCTTGCAATTTGATCACTGGGTGTTCTAATGAGAATATGGAAAATTGTCTCTAAAAGGCTTTTGAACAAAGGAATAAAGAAACCTGGATTCAAATTTACCCCTGCATTAGCACTAATCGGCCTTCAAACAACTGGGCCCTAAGCTCAATATCTTTCCTGTGCAGAGCCTTTTTGGTTACATGCTACAGAGCTGGAAAACATGGCAGTGCAAGTCACAAACCTTTCAGGGCTCTTGCTCATGAAAAATTGTAAAGCTGCATGCAAGTAGGGAGGGTGGTAAAACTTGAAACTCTTTTCTATATAATGTCATTCAAAAAGGGCATAAAATCTATTTTTGCTCGCCATAGTTTTTACCTTACACACTTGCTGAAATTAAGCTGAAAACTGTTGTACTTTGATGACAAAAATGCGCTCTACAATGACACCCATATGTGAGCTGGGCGGTCCTCCACAGGAATCTGTTTTTGTTAGCGGCTTCAATGGATCAAAGGCATTTAGCGTTTCAACACTTTTAAAATTACCGCCATAGTCACGAGTGCAGATGTTATTCAGCTCTATCGCCGGTGGTACTAAAACTACTGCGTGCAATATTGTGATTCTGACCCTCAGAATGGACATTGAGAGAAAAAGATTTTTATTGTACTTGCCATACTCTGCAGACTGGCAAACATCAATTCACTAGCAAGGTTGACATCATACATGAAAACCTAGATACATCAAGATTACACAATAATTTCATTTGGAGCAAGAAAACAGTCTTTGACGATAACCTTCCTCTGATGCTGTAGACAAATACTAAACCAATAATTTTCAAATGTTTAAGTACATTTGTACCTGGAACACAGCCCGAGCTGATAGCCCAGCCATCACCAAGAGCTCCTTCCTTGCATTCGCATGCAATAGCACCATCTCCCTCCAAGCATTCTGCATGGTCATCACAGACAGTTCTTCCAACTGAAGCATAGTCGTCAGCACAGATCTTGGCCTCTGTTGAGGAAATATAGGTAGGCAAATATTTAACATGGATTGTATTGATTGGTGACCAGAACTTCTCAAAACAACTTCCGGAAAAAAATATCATTCTAAAAATTGAACCGATTCGTTTCTTACCGATAGGCTCCTTACTGATAGGCTCCTTACCGATCGGCTCTTCACCGATAGGCTCCTTACTGATCGGCTCTTTACCGATCGGCTCTTTACCGATAGGCTCTTCCGCATACGCGTTGCAAAACAGAAGAGAGACGACTAAAGATACGAACATCGTTTGACCGAAAGAAATCCTGACCTTCATCTTGCTAATCAATCGAAATGTTAGTTGCCTTAGTTTGTAACCGTTCGCGTCAACTGTGACTGTTTAGATCAAATTTATGTCTTTGCTTTTGATGTCGAATTCCTCAAACGTCAACTGCTGATGTTAGCAGTTTTAAATGAGTTTACACCAATCACCTCCTGTCTACAGAAACAAATTTCATCGAAGGTCTGCTGGAATCTTCCAATGACGAATTATAATTGCCACATCGCACTGTTTACCGTTGGTTATTCAAAGATAAAACGTGCCAAGGACCATCACACTCCATGCAGGAACTTGATGTCAAAGCATTTTCCATCTTTTTCTACTAAGCATCTTTCGCCGCCATCTCTAGTGTACCGACATTTGTTTTCCAGTACCCGCGGACAACTGTGACAGAAAACGCGGAGGCCTGTAAACATTCTAAATAATCCTAAATAAATTGTCTCAAATGAAAATTATTTCTAAAGACTGCAAAAATCAGAAAAAAGAAAAACCCATCTGTATCTGTTTTCCCTGCAGTGCATTTCCGCTGCCTTTAAGGCACAGGCAGACCACACTATGTGTTCGTAGTTAATCATTGTTGACATCTAAAGTACATCTATTTCTGAATATCTCAATAAAGTTAAATTAAATGTTAATCGATACAGTTGTGGTATTTTTTCGTCTTCATGAAACGTCAGGCCGGCCAAATTTTAGAGCTTCATTCATAACCTTGATAGATTTTGTTTGTCTCATGTCAACAATAATTGGCCACAAACACATAGTGTGGTCTGCCTGTACTCAAAGAATCTGGAAAACAATACAAATTTTCACCAAAAGAAATTAAATTATACCCACATGTAGAATAGTTATGCAACTAGCCCTTCAACTAGTAATATATACAATTCTTTTATTCCATTCTTAAGATACTTAACCCTTTAACTCCCAAGATGTAATTCTTAATTCTCCCTACACTTTCTGCAGATTTCCTTGTAAATTAGTGACAAGTGTTTGGTTTTGAATCAAGATAAAAACTTGCTCCTGATAAATTTAGGTATTCTCATTACCTGCTTGCTAGATAATGTATGTAAATTATAGGGAGAAATTACATGTTGATCACTTCTGGGAGTTAAAGAGTTAAAAGCAATTACACAACAAATCAGACTGACATGAAGAACATTTGTTTAATGATTCAATAATTCCTCCATTTGCCCTGATAAATTCATAAGTATCACAATATAGACATCATCTCCGACACCTTTCCACAACAACTCCACCAGCATCTTGCACACGTCTGAATAAATCAATATACTGAGCAGCTCTTATAGTCCATGGGAGAATATAATTTTTACAAAAATCCAGCTTTTTGAAGGGTTCCATATTTGTTGGCAAAAACTGATTCAGGAAGCCAAGAGCAAAATCATAGCAATTATTGTTGTGTTCATCATACCTAAAAATAGTAATAAAAAAATACTCTTAATGATGAGGTACCAGTAAGAGGGAATGAACTCTTTAGTGAATTCTGATTGACTACTAGATTCTCCCTTAAAACTGTCAGTTATTCCTTTGAAAAACATGGAAAGAATTTGGTGTAGCTTAAAAAGTTCACTTTCACCAAAGGCTTTACACTATAGATCAATTTAAATGCAAAACTATACTCAAATCACTACCAATAATGTATTCATCTTTTTTGTCTTTTTATCAGCTGGATAGATGTAAGGAAAGAAAGGTTTCTACCAGAGCCTGTTGATCAGTGCTCCTCATCTTAACCCTTTGACCCATAAAAGTGACTAGAATCTAATTTCTCCTTACAATATCACCCCTGAATCACATATTAAGGTCACAAGAATAAAGGACATGATCACCAACTAGAGAAGCTTTGAATGTTTAACAAATTCTCCTTGTCAGTACCTCAGGAAATGTATAGAGAAAATCCACACTGACATTAGAATGTGAAGGGTTGATAAATAATACTTACAAATTGTTATGTACACTGTCATAAAGTAGTAAAGAAAAGAAAAACTTGTATCCTTGATTGAATCTTGTTTATTGTATAGGTTGGTCTCAAAGCGTCAGAAACTATATACAAGTAATTTGATATAAAACAGATGAATCAAAATCAAGCCACAAAATCAAGGTGTGTCCTGTACAAACGAAAACACAAACGTGTGACTAAAGGTTATATGAAGAAATTGATTAAAAATAAATGTGACTGTTTGTAACATACACCATTACTCATGCATGTATAGGAGACATAATGCATTTTCTCATTATGTTCCAAAAAAAACATATCACCAGAAAACTCATTGTAAGATAACAATACCTAAACTATAGTATCAATAACACATACTCTTCTGGAGTCCATAGACTACTGCTATACATCTGTTTTAGTCTGGAGTCCCAAAGCTCTGAAGTAAAATCTTTAATTTCAGTTATGCCTACAACAAGACACTGTTCCCAGCCAGTTCTATCTGCATGAAGCCCAAGTTCATCAAAATTATAAACCATTCCATTAGATGAGGTAATTCCAACATGAAGATTATCTCCACTTGTATATTCTCTGCAAAGTAAATATATTTCTAATCAATAAAAATCTTACCCTTGAATGAAACAACAGAAGAACCTTCTCAACAAAGCCTCAAAAAAATTTGACTGTAACCATCCTCCCCCCCCCCCCTTAAAAAAATTGCAAATTTTGTTAAGGCCTACTTTCTATGTGACCAACAAGATCATTACGGAAAAGTGACCAAGACATAATTTCTCCTTACAATATCAATATCATATCAAGCAGACTAGTGTTAAGAATGATGAAAGATATCAATCAGGAGACTGTTTTACCGAGCATTGATACTTGCCCCCTGGATGCGGTGTTTGCAATTGTCCCTCAACAATAATCCTCTAGTGTTTGGCCAAATTCTCTCGGTAGTTTCCCAGTACCCCTCCATACCCATGGAGAAAAGCACTAATCTCGTGAAACATTAGGGGCAAGATTTCCGTACAGCCCTTTACTAATTATGCATACAGTTCTTGGATAAAGAAAACAATGGCGGAAACTACAGATTGCCTTTGAGTCTACGGCTTTGTTTTAGAATATATCGTAAGAGATTATACGGAAATCCTACTACAATGGGTTTCAGTTCTTACCTCAAGAAAGAGCCCCTCGTCGGCTTCACCACAAAAGAGCACGAACTGTCATTTTGTGACAAAAATGGACTTGGAACACGGAAAGGCGGAATTATCAAAGAACAACCTTTCAGTGATTTACCACACAGTGGACATGTCTCCGGAAACTTTGAGAAGAAAATATTCATTTGATTAGTACAATGCTGCATGCAGAGAATTCTATCCTCTGTATCTTCGCTCATTGTCCATTTAACAATCTATCCAAGGCAATTACAACTCGTTCGCGTCCGCCATATTTAATAATCTCATTCCCAATGCCCTCGGTCGCGGAACTTAAATTCCGGAAATTCCGGAAACTGCCGAGGACTTTCGTTCGAGAAAGGCGAAGAGCGAAGTCGAGAAAGCGGCAAAAACTTAGCTTTCAAGGGGCTAAAAATCGGGGAAGTGCTGGTAAAATATATTTGAAATTGAAATTTCGATGGCAAAGTATCAGCTTACAAAGAACAAAATTGCTTCAAAGCATTTCCTACATTCCGTATCTGACATGGCAAATAAACTGTCAAACGTACAGGAAATATGTGGAATATTCTTGGCAGGAAGAATATCTATGGAAGTTTTTTGAGCCGTTTGAGTCATGTATTCTCTTAGCTTGAGCTGAAAAAAATTGATCAGTATTTATTTAGGCTTGTTGCAGCGCCATAAAACCGCAAGCAAAGAAGAAAACTTTTCTTGTCTTCCTAAGCTGAATAGATAGGTAGCCATCCGGAACAGAAAAAAAATTAAATATTTTGTCTTTGTTGCACATTACCGGCTTTTTAGCCTTGCCACGGCTGTCGAAAAAAACACCTGCTTTGCTCTAAAAATTGCGGCAATTTTCTCTTCATCTGAAACAATCGCATGGACTTGTTTTTAAACATTTCTACTAAATAAGCTCGTCAAAGCCTATTTAGCATTGGGCGAAAAATAAACCGCGTGGATTCAATTAACTTCTTGAAATTAATTAACTTTTTAAATTAGATTTCTTGGCGGCATTTAATAATTTCTAGCGAGACAGTTTTACAAAGTAAACAACTGCGGTGTCAAGAGAAGCGAAGAGAGCAAACATTGTACAATATAGGTATCTATTTCGAAAGAATTTATCATTTACTTGACAATATTGAGTACATGTCGCTTGGATCCGTGTCATCGGAGACAATTCCCAGACGGGACAGCCGCTAAAGACCGTTTTAAAGAATTTGGTTCTTGTGATCGGGTGCGCAAAGCCCCCGTAGAGAGTAATTGTTTTCAATTGGGCTTCACACATCTTGAACAACTTAGTACTCAACTCCTTCGCCGAGATATCATACTGGAAAGCTCAACACAACTTTAGTTATGTCCTCTCCAACCTCCGATTTCTTCACTAATGCGACACCAAGCGTTCCAACGGTGCCTTTTCAAGTAAATCCCATTTTGGGACTGATTGTAGAAGTCGTGATTTTACTTCTGATTTGTGGACATTTCTTTATAATTACAACTCTCGGTTTATACAAGCCGTGGAATATTGCCGACCTGTTGTTGTTTTCGTTGTCCGTGGCGGATGCCCTGAATGCTGCGGTACCCCTGCAAATGTTGAATGTACTGAATAACTTTATTGGTCCAGAGACATGGAAAGAAGCCTCATGTGCTGTTTTCGTTATACTGACATATACATTCCGTATTGCCTCAGTGTGCACAATAACACTGATATCTGGCGACAGAGCTATTCTATTGACAAGACCGCTTCAACATCATGTCATCGTTACGATAGAGAGGGCGAGAGTAGCTGTCATTGCAATCTGGCTATTCTCTATTTTCATGTCGATTTTGCCGTTTATTGGGGTTGGGAAAACGGGGTATCGGAAAGGCTTCTGCTTTTACCAGCTGTACGATTTCGGAGTGGCATACGGTTACATCATTGAAAGCATTGGTATCGTGCAGTTAATTCTCGTCTTGATCTGTTTTATTGCAATCAAGTTATCAAGCGGCAGGTTTGTAAAGCGCCAGTCGACGATGGCAGCTTCCAGGCAAACTGGCGGGAAAAACAAGCAAGCGCGGGAAACGGCTGGCACACGGCAAGTAAAGCAAATGTCCACTATGATGGCCATGGTAGTGTTGCTGTATTACATTAGTTGGTTACCTTATTTGGTAAGTTTATCCGACATGTAGCCGTGTGTGTTTTTAAATCGAACATTACCACTAGATTCCTATGAAAATAACAATCCTTAGACCTGCCTCAATGCTAATTGAAGATTTACTCATGTTGCAGCAAAAACCGTGAAAATATTTGAAAACAATTCAGTCTGGCAGCATTTCAAAAGACGCGTATTTGTACACAAAAATTACTGAATATTTCAATTCCAATTACAGCGGTTGGATGGTCTAATAAAACTGTGCACACAAAAATATCTTACGTTTCCCTCAGATGATTACAGTTTTGTCGATTGGTAATTAGTTTTCCAAAACAAGTGTTTGAAAAGAAAATTTTCCCGTTTGTGTCCATATGTTTATCACGTTTATATGAACTTGTTAGCGACATTCGAGAAATGTGAACCAGTGTAAAATGAATTACTGTTTGTAGTTGAGTATTAATTGCTTTCTGGTCGATGACATTGGATCGTATCGTTTGTTTCTCTCGCTTTAATGGGTTTCGATAAACTTTGCTTGAATTCGATGTTCAAAGCTAACTAACAGAAGGAATAAACACGAGGAAAGCAAGCAGATGTTGTTTCAAAAACTTCATTTCATGGAAAATTATGTGTCGTCTTTCCTCAGCCTCATAAACCGAAGACTGAAAGCTTGGAACTCAATTATGGAAATGAAATTATTCACGGTTCCAGAAATAACTCTTGTAGTCTCCAATGTTTTGCATAAAAGCATTTCAACTTCCATTCAACAAGCAAATATTTACCTTTTGAAAAATGAGAGTAAACGCTTAGTAATCTGAAATTCTTTTAATTCCAATGGTCCTAATTCGTCAATGGCACCTTGGAAACCAATCGTTTCGTTTCACCTGACGACGGCTTCCAACATATTAATTCGAATCATTTAATTTTGTCTTTACTTCAGCCTAGCATTGTGTATAGTTCTATAAAACAATGGAGGGATTACTGACTTTACTTGATGGCTTTCTCAGCCATGTTTTAAAGTTTTCAAGTTCTTTACCAGTCTTTTAGCTAGCTTCTCATTTTTCTCCTTTGTGGGCTTGCAGTTAGCCAGCAAGTTAGCTTTCGTAACTGAATCACTACTTCCAAAACCTCTCGTTCTCTGGAAGGTTTAATCCCATGAATCGGACGAGAACAAATCGTTTCCTCCAATTACGTATTGAGTTCATTGCAGCTTAATTCGGGCATTACGTAATGAAAACAAATTGATAAACAATAATCAGCTGTAATCGAACTAGTATGTGTTGAAAGATTGCGACAATTTGGAAAGCGAAGGCGAAGAACATTCTTCGAAAAATATTTCCTTGCCTTTTGTAGCTTTGGGAGGGGGTCATGATAGCGATTTTTTTTCTTTCAATGAAAAACTTTTCTTTCCATTGTTTACTTGTGATACCGCGCATGTTTTGAAAAAAGTGATTTGAACGCACTAATTTTTGACTGATTGCATCGATCGATATGATTGTGCTTGACATGAAAGAAAAGCTTAGTATTTCTCAAACAACCATGCCTCCCGTTCCTGAGATGAGACTATTAGAATCTTAACGTTTCGTGTCCGCTTTATTGTTTCATTGGGTTGTGGGAATTGTGCATTGACAAAGCTTGTTGACCAACCCCACTGGTGTTTGGTTAATACCAAACAAGATAACTTCATGCAGTTTGAATCGAAAGCATAAATGACTTTATGTATGTGCCAGGGTTTGCAAAGATATTGCAGTTAATGAAGCGAAAGTAGCAGTTAGAAGTTCAATTTACGAGATAATAGCCTTGAGTTTGAACAGCGTCCATCAAATAATCAGTCATGTAAACCCAATTAAGTAACACAGAACAGTAGCACAACAGTCAAACGTTGGGAATGCGCGATCAATTTTGGTTGCGCGCGCCAATTTCCCGCGCAAAATTCCAAAGGAAAACATAACAAACAACCGCTGTCTCACAAAATCGCAAAATAAGCGAAAGATAATTGAAACAATGGTAAAAAGTTTTAGAAAGAGAGGACCCTTTTCTCTACAAAGAATTACTTGAGACCTCTCGGAAACGAAGCTTATTCAATTACGGGTATTCTGTTGATTTACCACTCTATTATAAGGTTACCAAAAACGTTAAACGCCCATGAAACACCAGGACTTACCGACTTGTGTAGTTGTTTGTTACCCGTGTGAGAGAATTTGGTTATGACGGCCTGAAAGCATGCTACCTTGTCATTACAATGTTTGCACATATACAGACGTTTCACCACAGTGTTGACTAGGTGTCTCAAATATTAATTATTATTTATTGTTTTTTTTTCAGTTAATAAACCTCTACAGTATGGTAACAGGGAAATTCAACCACTCCCAAGTTATCTTAGTTGGCATGCTATCTCTTGTAAACGCGCTCATCAACCCCATCTTGTACGGGAAAATGAGTCTGCGATACCGTCAGGGTTACATTTTCACCTTCAGGAAAATATTATCTTTGTGTGGTGCGTCAAAACCTGACGGCTCATTCTTTGGTAAGATTCTCATCGAACGATTATTAGAAGTTCGTTCGTCTTAGAAGTATAAAATAAAGCATATTCTTTCAAATTTCCAAATTTTAGATGGATATGACCATCGCAAACTTTGTCGCTTCTCCCTTTTAGAATAAGTCAAGTTGTTGGTGTTTCTGCAGGGGTACCCCACCTGTCAGCCAGCATTATTGAACTGCTCCATGAAGGAAGTTGGAATGGAAGAGGAAAGAGAGAGGCGTTTTGAATTGATATGTGGCCTTCTTTTCAAATAGATTTATCCAAGATTGCAGTCTCTTGGTCTACATCTGGTTGAATATGAACTTTAGTTCACCACTATTTTAGTCTCCTTTGCAGCTATTGTTTAGTGTTGTCACACTCTGAGAGGTGTTGCGTGACGAAATAATACCAAATGACGCATGCGTGAGAGGCTATTCTTTGTTTGTCACATATCTTTCTAATCCGGTTATATTTGTCACAATTTCTCTCACAGACGGTACACGTCGCGCTGCTTCGAAAATTGCAAGAAACTCGACAGCAGGTACTTCCTGCAATGCCAGACAAAGCATTGATGCTGCATACCAAGATGGCGGATTTAAGAGCGCTAATGAAGAATCTTCAACGAGAAGAGCCGGCGTACGATTTGAAGTCAACAACAAAGTGGATAATGAAGCAGAGGAAAGAGCATCAAATGCGTTTCTCTTGGTTGAAGACGGCAATGCTAACTTGAGAAGTCCAGATACCAGTTCATTGCAAACTTCTTTACGGAGCGAAGATGAAGACATAAAGAAGATTAATGGAGAATATTCACCGCTGGATGAAAGTTATGACAGCGTGCTGTAGATAAATGACTTTAGAAGTCTGATGTCAATTAGTTTCACTTCTTCTGTCCAAAAAGGAACGCAGCTAACAAACACAAGACCGATGATTGTTGGCGGAGATCTGGAGAGAGTGATTGATTTGTTGTTGGTAAAGATTTTGAACCCCATGAACCTTCACAAGACCTCTAATGGATAAGCTAGAAAAGATACTGAAAATCTAATTGTGTTTAGAATCGTTAAGCCTTTTTACGCAGTGAATTCTAGCTAAAAAAAGGCCCTTGTTTGATGTTGTCGAGCATTTCCCTCATTTGAGGATGTTTTGTCTCCAATGGTGAAGAAAAAATTGAAAGGAAACGGTGATATTGAATTCAAATGGTAAAAATAGGCTAAAAAAACCTGCTGATTTTGTGCAAAGTTGACAGTTTTTAGTGCATGGCGATTTCATGTTGAATATTGTAAATAGAATGGCTGAGTGGATGTATGTGTATTTACAAAATTGACAAACCAGTTCTCAGCGTATTTCTTTTGCTTGGCCTTACTGTACTTCAATTTTGACATATTCAAGTCAAATACTTGAATATATTAGAAAATATAACAGAATACTTACTGGGGCCCACTTGTCGAGGAAGTGTTCTTTCTCCCATTCCCATTCCTAGTGGATATCGCGCGGACAACAAAGTAACGCACCGCCTGGGAACATGACAGTTCTGAGAAGACACATATCCTTCCACACGTTTGTCTTCGTAGTATGAAACTTCACGGCCTCAATATAAAAATCAATTCTTTAAAAATGCGATCTAGGTTTTTTAAAGACTTTCTATGTCTGTTTACGGGTAGGAAAATAAGTTTCCAAGTCGTTCTATGTCAGTGCTCAATGATATCAGCACAATTTTTCCTTTTTTTATTTCACGCCTTATACTTCCTTTCACCTTATTAACCAAGAGTGACTAGCATCTAATTTTTCCATATAATATCACCCCTGAATCAGACATTAAGGTCATGAGAATAAAGGAAAGGATCACCAACTAAAGAAGCTCTTGATTGTTAAATAAATTATCCTTTTCAGTACTCTTGGAGATGTAAAGGGAATATCCATACTGATATTAGGGTGAAAAGAGTCACCAATCGTGGTTATCCGAGACAAATGAATGTGTGCAGCGACAGTACTTTAAGGTGGAGGGAGGAAGGAAGGGAAAATTGAGGGGCGAGGGAGGAGAAGGGAAATTTAGGGGGAGGGAGGGGGAAGGAAAATTTAAGGGGGGTGGGAGGGGGAAGGGAAATTTAAGGGGGGAGGGAAGGTGGTAGGAAAATTTAAGGGGGGGAGGGAGGGAGAATGGAAATTTTAACCTTCATTTTGTTTGGTAGTGAGTATAAAACAGATAAAGGAAAGCGGAAATTTGACAAAGGTCAAACCACAACATAAGCATGTGGGAGTGTGCCGACATTTTTTTCGCCCTCTTTGTCGCGGTAATACGAGTCCTCGATTAGAGAAACTATGAATTAAATTGAAAGTCAATAATTGAGAATTTTGCAAATTCATCTCAGCTTGTTTTACATTTTAATGATTTCAAATTACCTCTTATTGCAGTCATTATCTCTCTTAACTCTTTAATTTCTATGAGTGACCAAAACAGATTTTCTCCTTACAATATCAAAACAATAGCAAGCAGAGAAGAGGCGAAAACAAAGAAAGATATCAATAATAGGATTATTAGTTAATCTAATACCAAATTTTTATGAATTAACTTCGCAAAAATCATAAGGCGTGGCTTGGCGTGGCCGAGTGGTATGGGTGCTGGACTTGTAAACTAGTGGTCCCGGGTTCAAGTCCTCTACCCTGCCATTTACTGGATTTTTTCTCAGTCGCCTCGAGTTCAACTCCTCGACTGCACTGCGAAAATAGTAAACTGCTCTGCCTCCTGCCAGTTGGGATTTTCAAGCACTTTGTGTTTATTTCAGTCATTGTAAAGCGCTATTGTCTAGCGATAGAAATAGCGCTATTTGAATAAAGTTTTATCATGAAGACAGTACGGACTGAGTTAAACGAACGCACCATAACGAGTTATAAAAACTCCCCACAAGATAAATTAAATTTTATGAGCTCATTAAACGCAAGTTTTATTCAAGATTCGCAATACGTCATTACGTAATTATTTATTAATTTTCATGTAAAATGTAACGTCGCTGAATTTTATCTTTTTGTTCCACAGGAAAGCAAGGCTTTATTTTTTAATCTTTTCGATTCTAAGCGGATGTTTCGTTCCGGAAAACACAGATTTCGTAATTTCCAGAGTATGAAAGCATAGAAGAAATTGCTGATGAATTCACCACAATGACAGCTCATCTGTCTGTACTTATCAGATTATCAACGGAATTTCGTATTGTATATTATCACAATGAAAAATTTTATCGACCAACCAGAAACTCTCGCACATAAAACCGCAGATAAAAAAACAACAACAATAAATTCCGTAAAAATTCATGATATTATGAAAATCGCAGCAATATCTCGGCATTGAGACTCACTTATTCAAGCTCAAGGTTATTTTTCACATCACCAAGAGTACTTCCTAAGTGTGTTTAGTAAGTAAGGTAGAAAGTAGCCGAGTTTCTTTATCGGTTTTCTGCGCTAGTAAGATATTTGTTCTCATAGCTTGTAATATTTGTTTTGTCTGAATGTGCAAACAACATCTGCAAATATATTTCTACAGAAGAATTGGATCATCTGCAAAATTAAACTTAGCTTCATCGCCAAGAACTTCAACATCATGGCACTCATAAGCACAAATGGAGACCGAGAATTACCAACTGAGACTGCAGAGGCTCACATCTCGCTTGCTGTGGTCCTGTTTGTCTGTTCTGTCCTTATTCTTGTGGGAAACTCGTTCACGATCGTAAGCATCTTACAATTCACCCGAAGAAAAAACACGTACACTTTACTAATCGTATCTCTTTCGTTCACGGAAGTTTTCAACGTGCTCGGGCCTAACGGAATTGCTTTGTACGCGATTTTGGACAAAAGTAGCGAATTGAAAGATCTTTTCACCTTGTGCAGAGTTCAAGCCTGGCTAATGGTGTTCTTTCGCATCGTAGCGACAATACTAGTCTTCGTCTTAACCTTAGATAGAGTTTTTGTGACAACTTTGCCACAGTTTTACCACAAACACTGGAAAGGAAAATTATTTATCATAATTTTCTTCGGCATTTGGATCAGTGCAACGTTTCTTGCTACATGGCCTCTGTTATGGCTCGAAGGTTTTCAAGTTTCCAGCGATTCCGGAGGGCTGTTTTGTTTATTCCCTCATGACAGTCCCTTCGCGCAGTTTTTTGTTCTGCTTCACTGTTTTTTGTTGATGATCAGCTGTTTTTGCTTTTATGCAATATTTGGTATGGCTGGCAAGAAATCTTTCGATACAAAGAATGCAAAACATGAGAACATGGATATTTCATCAAGACAGCTTATTGCAGAGAAAGACATTTTCGCGAGCTCGAAAGAGTTTTCTCGCCTGGTTGTATTGGTAGCCGTGGTTTACTTCTGTTCTCTTCTTCCATGGATGGTAAGTATCGGCAAAATTAGTTTTCCTTTTTAGTTTTTAATTCTTCACCATTTAAAGTTTCTTTTTAGTTTAACTTTGTGTCGATAAAGAAATGCCAAAAGTCTCTCTTTGAATAACACGTTTCTTACTTATTTCCAAAAATATTCGATTGTGAAAGAATACATACAAACTACATAAGACTTCATTAGGCCGTTCGATTAAATGATAATAACCAGTGTTTTCCTTTATAAGCCCCTTTCCTCAAATATAATCTCGTTTTTGCACTACGTCAACAGAAAAATTAATAATTATTCACCGAAGTGGAGATGAATAGTACGTATACTTGCTATTCACTTCCGAAATAGCCAATCAGCGCGCGCGAAAAGCACCATTTACCTGAGATTATAAAGTAACCGCACGACTTACTTACCTTTTTTTGTTTAAATATCATTATTAAATTTATGAACTAATGAATCATATTGAATGTAAACTTCAGGAGGGAGATTTTTCGTAGGCCTCGCAGATATGAGCAGGTTCAGAAATAAAGCTCGGAACTCTTGAAAGTACAGTCGCAATAATTAAAACGACTTCTTATAGGGATCAATAGCGTTCATTTGAACTCATCAACGAATACATATTTCAAATATTCATGAACTATAAATCGGTCTGGAAAATCAATAAATATGTAAATATAAAAAGTAGATTCATAATTTTGTTCTCTTCGTTTAGAAACCTTCTTTTTCTTTTCTTTTTTTTAGGTAGCTTTATGTCTTGGTATTTTTTCAATTGGATATCCTTCTCTTTTTGGATTGTGTGCGACCCAGATACCAATGGTCAGTGGTTTACTGAATCCTGCGTTGTACGGGATCATGTGGCTCCCGTTCAGACGAGCTTACATCCGCGCTCTCAAGTGGCCTGGGGCAAAATGTTGTCGCCGGCAAAGGTCTTTACGCGCACGGTCCCACACTCTAAACTGTAAGTCATGTGTTATTTTATAAATTTTGAGCTGTTTGGATGATAACGTACATTAAAGGGTTAACAACAATAACAACGAATCTCTCATTGTTCATAAGAATGGTATTAAATTGGAATAAAGTAAAATTGTCTACAGTTAACTTGGTAACACGCAAAATTTAAAGCATAGTTTAATTATTATTGGAGCCTAGAGATTTCGAGCTAGCCCCAGCCAGAGACTAGTTTAAGTGATTAAACAACAGTGTGATACAGAGCCATGTGCAGCAATGTAAAGAAATACGAATCTATTCTGCCACTTGCAAGACTGAGCTAAGAAAACGTTCACCATTCAAACTGGTTTCTCTGCACTAACTTAATGGCAATTTTTGAAAGGAAATTTGATAGTATTGGCGATAAGAAAAATTATTTTTATCTAAAATGGGACGTGATAGATCAAAACAAGTTTTCAAGTGAAAGATGATACAATTATGTAATGCTAAGGAAGCGTTACCTTTTAAAAGTCATGAAATTTTAAAAAAAGGGAAGTAAGATTTTATGTACGAAAGCCGTAGGTTATAAACCATTATTACACTCGCATCGGCCAATTATGTTCCAGAATTTGTAACATCAACTGTTTTCCTCGTAACAGCCACCGCGAGTGCAAATCACGGCAGCTTCTGGTTATCGGATAGCTTAGTTGACGAGGATGGCGAACAAGAAAATGCATTTCAGATTCTGTTTGGTCCCACGTCATATATCAAGCCTCTCGACTTTAATCCAGAAGAGCTGGAAATGTTCGAACAAGAATCGGAAATGTGCGCCTCTTTAAACAATAACGGAGCGGTCTTTCAACACTCAAAACCCACAATCTGGAGAGAGACTGGAAACCATTTCCAAAACATTTTGGATCTTATTGACGCGATGACAGACGGAAGTCGACAGAAAGTAATTGAAAAGGGATTGGGAAGAGAAAGCAAAGACTCAAGATGGTCAAATGGCAACAGTGCACATAAAAGGTCGGCGGACAACATTAATATTGGTATTTCCCATCATAGTAGTGGTCTTGAATTATCGTTTCGCCATCCAAATTCCGCCCAAATCCCTAGCTTGCCTCATTGCAGAAAGTACAGCAACGGTTCTGCAGATTGTTCTTGCCTCGGAAAATCAAAATGCTACGTAGTGGAGCGAAAAAATCGTGAACTGGACTTTCTAGTGTCTAGAGATTTAATGGGGAGTGCCAGTTCTGGAGAATCCGTGAGGATTGAGATCTGAGCTTGTTCGTGAAAGAACATTCATTGGCATCAAGACTTTACAAAGTACTACAGGATTTTATTCGTAGAATTAAGATGACCAGGATAGTCTTGTCTTGCGAACTTATTTTCGAATGAATTTAGGAGTGTTAACAGTACTCTTAAGCGACGTTGTTTATGTAATTGACAAGCTGATTGGGAAACAATAAACTTATTGTTGGAAAAAATTCGCGAGTGTTAACGGTACCCTTAAGCAGCCGCAGTTGTTACTTATCTGATTGGGAAAAATTGCGTTTTTAAGAGGATCATTTATGCTATGTTTAGACGAGCAGTTCCTCCTTTTCGAAGACGCACGATGGAAAAAAAATCGGCAAAAAAAAAAATTTAGGTCAGCCGCGCGGAACTCTGAAAAGGCTACTTTTTCGTGCGCCACACTTCCAGAGTTCTGCGCGGCGCATTGACATCCATTTTGTTTCGTTAATATTTTTCGACCCGCCCGACGGACCTCTTCGAAAAAAAGGGTTTGCTCGTAGTCTATACTATGGCTGCGTGTGCGTGTTTTTAAACTCTATGATGCATTACCTAGTTTCAAGAAGCAAGAGAACGCTCCCCGTGTAAGAGAAAATATGTACTTTATTTTCCTGCGTGTGTAATTCATTTCTCGGTACAAGTTTTCTGAGTTTGTACATGTAAAATGAAGAATTTAAGTGAATTTTTTCAAAAGTATTTGTATTCTTTCGTTCTCTCTTTTTGCAAGTATTTCGTGTACACATGTCAATTTTATTTTGGTTCAAGGCTTGAGATTTTTTTTCGATAACCAAACCAAGAGTCTCATCTCATTGACACTGATACCACCGATTTTAGTGCGTAGCCTAGTCTAGGTTTGTAACTGGAACTAGGCTACGCACTAAAATCGGTGGTACTAGTGTCAGTAAGATGAGAATCTTTACCCGTAAAGGGGAAGAGTTAGACAACGCCACAAGTCACAAGTTACTTGGAGTCTATGTCGATCAAGACCTCACCTTTAATGAATATGCTGAACAACTATGTCGGAAACTGACAAAACGTATAGGTCTTCTTAGATCGATCAGACTATTTCTTCCCCTAAACGACCGCATAATTTTTTTCACAACACACCTAAAATGTAACAGACGAATTTTTCGTCTTCAGAAAAAAGCAGCTCGTGTTATTTTAAGCCTTAAAACGAGAGACCAACGTACTGCAACCCTATGCAAGAGACTAGACTGACTACCTAAATTAATTATGTTTATTCTACAAATGCTCAAATGGACAATTCCCAGAACACTTATGTAGTAGATTAGTGCGTATCAGCGACATGTCGACCAGAACCTCACGGTATGGTGATATAACTATAGCTATAGTTTACTTCCTGAACTTTAAAGAGAAGAAGATGATTAAAAAAAAGTAGTAAAAGTCAGTCAAGGTCGTAGTGGCGCTGTAGTAGCGGAAATTTTTTTCGACAGACTTAAGAAACTTGCGGGTAGGTGTAAGTTGGCGATACCTCGACACGCTTTTGGTGTAAGAACTTTTAAGCACTTCAGTGTCATCAGTGGTTTTCCTCTGTCTCCTTCGCCAATAAATTATATTCTTGGTCACTGTTCCCTCTCTCATCCTTCGATCTGATCCAAAAGTTAGCCAGTGAAAAAGGAACTAAAACTATAAATGTCACCACAGAGTAAACAAAATAGGTCTTGGCAACGCCGAGCCAGTTTATCAGAACACCGCTGAGAAGAACACCTGTGCCGACTCCTAAGCCCCAGTAAACTCCGCCAAGGACGCCTGATGGCAAAGAAATATGAAGTTAGAAACGAAGGCATGCGCATGCCAAGCACGAAACTGTTTGACCTCGTTCCCAGGGTCCTCTCTCTTTCTCCTTCTAGGGAGGAAGAGAGAGGACCCTAGGAACAAGAATGTCACAGCCATTTTGCGTGCTTCGTTATTTTTATATAAAGCCAGATTCTTTGATTTCTAGATACTACCATACTTGTGCGTTCGTTTCCTTGAAAATGATATCAGAATTATTGAGGTGGCTCTGAACTGTTGGTAATTTTCAACTCTTCATGAACCCTTTAACTCCCATGACTGACCAAGACAGAATTTCTCCTTACAATATCAATATAGGATCAACCAGAAGAGTGATAAAAATAAAGAAACATGTCGATTTGGGGATAATTAGTTGATCCAATACTAAATTCTCTGGACTGACATCTTAAGAATTGTATGGTTGACAGTAAGGAGAATTAAAAATTTGATCTGGGAGTCAAAGGATTAAGACGAATTTTTTTTTAGTTGCAATTGAGCATAATTAAAATGTGGTTGCCAAACTCGCTCTCGAGTTTCAAGCACATGCAGCTAAAATGACGATTTTTTCTGAGAAGCTGTTTCGTTGCTATGGTAATCATATGAATTAAAACTAAACCCAATCTTAGGTAACCTTCTACACTCAAAGTTACTCCAGTCGCTGATTCACTTACCTTGGGTTGCTGAATAAAAACCAACTCGCAGTGACACAGTACCACCAAAAACCACACAGGCAGACCAGCTGGTTCCGTATAAGAAGCCCTGAGCGCTAAACAGTGCCACGCCCAGCCAGGGGTTCCGAACGAACGACATACTCATGTAATCAACAGTGTAGAACAGCAAGCAGACTGCTATGGTGCATGCGTGTCCGAATTTGTCTATAACTATTCTAGAGAGAGTGTACCCGCATGTGGCGACTGTGTATCGCAAACCGGAAGCCAGGCCCAACATGTAGGGTTCTGCTCCCAGATCATCTAAGTACCACAGACCGAAAAACTCGTTTAAACCTACGAGGACGCCTAAGAAGCAAGCTACAACCACGAACATGGCGTTATGAAAGCGCATAAGTTCTTTTACTAAAAGCCACAAGTTTGAATCATTAGTGTCCTCATCCGGATATGTCGCCTTAAGGAAAATTAGGGTGAACATCGCTAGTGAAATAAACCCAGCAAAAAAATAAAATAAAACGAAGTAGTTTTTCACGATCTCGCCGCACACTTCCGACTGGTAAAAGTTGATGACACCTCCGACAACGAACGAACCAATAGCGACTCCAACTTCGCCCCATACCCGATAGTATCCGAACGTACTGATGCCCTCTTGGAGGAAACCCGCGACCAACGCATCAGGCATATTGAACACTACTGAGCCGACGATTTGACTGCTAATGGTTATAATTAAAAAAGTTGTAAATATCTGTGAAATCTCGGTTTCGTCGATACGACGGGTGAAATTTGAATGACCTGTATGGTTGAGAAACCCGCCATCTTCCTCGCTTTGTTCCTCGTCTTCATGACTTTTATCGTATCGTATTTCTCCTGTGGTAAAACTCAGTGGTGTTTTTATCACTGTACCGTTCGCTCTTGTCTCGATACACTCTTGATTTCTCGGTGGAAAAGGCATAAACAATAAAATTCCTGAAGAAAATGACACAAGAGACGCGAATAAAATAATCTTTCGAATTCTAAATTTATCAGCGACTGTTCCCCAAAACGGCCCGCCGATAAATTCAGAGAACAGTTTAACTCCGCTCAGAATTCCAGCCTTTGCAGCGCTCATTCCCAGCTGCTTAAAAAAGAGCATCAAATACGGAAAGGAGCTTCCAACGGCGGCGTAGAAGAAGAGAAAGTACGCTTTGAAAGCGAGTTTCGATGGATGGCACAAAGTGGATTTAGAATTCGGTGAAGAAACCAAAGAGGCTTTCTCTCCTTTTCCTTTACTTTCCATTTTACTGCTGTAACTAACAGCCGCTCTGTATCTGGGACTCGTTGATCAAAGTTCGTAAATAAATATTCCTGTCGACTCGTTGTTCAACCAACACTTAAATATTCAAATTATTTCAGCCGTTTCGCTTGAGTGGTAGCCGGTATCTCTTTGTGTAAAATAAAATTAAAATAAGACCCCATGACTTCCATAGGATTTGAAGCCATGACGGGTTTAATGCCGTACGGGCCTGTTGGAAACTGTACGATACGTGATTTCGTTTATCTGTACATAACCAAACATGTTTGTGGCACGTGTTTTGTCGTCCCATATGTGGCACTATGCTAACTCAATTAGCATTGGTAATTAGTCCCTAGGGATTTTGGATATAATAGATTGTTTTGTATCACTCCTTGTCACTTCACTTGAGGCCTTGGGCTGTTTTCTGCGCATCGAAGCGTTTTCCCACCCACCCCACCCCCGGTCGGATTGATTCGTCTCACCATCACCCCTTCGCCTGGCTTGGGCTTTCCCGGCCAGAGCGATTCTCCATACCTTATTACCATCTCATGAATAACAATTCCTAGGGAGGAATATTACACTATTCCACGTGCTTATAACGGGACGTTTGGTGTGTGTCTCTTTCGAATAAGCCAAGAGCTGTGATTGGGGGTTAACCGAAACTCTGTAGTAATATCATTAAATCAAGTGAATAACTCGTGACTTAATAGGGAAACTTGGCACAGCTTTTTCACGTTTTCGAAAGGCCTGAATTTTTTTCAGGCCTTTTATTTTCACAACTACTCAAGTAGTGTTCATAACTGCGAGGATCGCTTGCAGATTCGTTTGTTGAGATAATCAGACCGAGAAGTAATTTAGATATGCAATTTTATTCATAACTCTAATAGATTTTGTCGTCACATGTCAACAATTGTTAACTACAAACACGTAGTGTACTCTGCCTGTGGTGGCAACATTCAAGCAAGGGAGTAACATCTCCATGGCACCGAGCGCGGTCCCACTTCAGTTAGAAAAAGGCCTGGTTACTAGATATAATACTGGCGCTTTCAAGTATCCCACTGTTCGATTTCGGCCATTCAACGTCTATCTTCGTAGGACACAGCTTGACTGAGTTACTTACAAACACATGTTCACTTTCCGTCAGTCAACCAAAACACTTTCACCGTTGATACTACGTTGTGTTTATTTCCATATTTACACTACCAAACTTCTTTATACCTCAGATAAGATTTGTAATTCGTTTTACAGCCTCTCGTCGTGCCGTGACATGTCTTGCATGTAATTCTCGGTGAAGATTTCTCATCTGATCCAGGCCCCCACTTTGCGCGACTGCGTCCAGACGCGAGTTTAGTTCTTGAAGGACTGGGTGGTCTGGTTGCTCCTCGTGTATAACTCCTTCTTCAGCTTCTTTTTCTATCTTGATAGGTTTTTCTTCATTTTCTTCCTCTTCTTCCATTTCATCGTCAGGTTCTGAGTCTCCTCTGTCGTCTGACATCTCATCACGAGGCTCGGTTTCCTCAGCTTCTGGGTCAAAATCTAGCCGGACGAGAAAAGAACTATTGAGCGAATTTCAAAGGGATGTTGTCAATCAAAACTAACTGAGAGTAATCCAGACGGCCAATCAGAACGAGGGAACATATCACAAGGAACCCATGAGAACTCGCAAATTGCCTATAACGCATGCGAGGGGGAGGGGGAAGGTGTATTGTAAACAAGAAGAAGTCCCTAGTCAGTCGCACGAGTAAAAAAAGCAAGAGTAAGTACTTTTGGTCCGCCTCACTCCCAGGGTTACGCGAGGCGGACTAAAGTCTATTTTTTTTTCATTGACTTTATTTTTACTCGCACGATGGACTTTGCCGAAAAAGAGGGACCGCTTGTGGTCTAGGTTTATCAGAGAAGGAAGTTTATCAAAGCGGGTGACTTTAGTTAGGCTAAGTCATGTGCTCGTGGTTGGGCTTACTAAAACTTTTCTAAAGGAAAAAAAGCAAGTCACCAAATTCTTCTGTGTAGTCTTCCCTTTATAAGACTACCATGTGCAGTACGCATTATTTTAGTTGAAAGCCTACGATATTCAAAATGGAAACGATTTAAAAATACAGGTTTTCTCTGAACGGAAACGGGTAGTGAGCGTGACAGTGGCGTCCCGCAAGCGATTTCGAGAAAAACCGATCTAAGCCGGTCGATGTATGGTGCGAGTTTCGTGAAATAATTGTGACAATGTTTAAAAATACAAGTACATCTTGTTTCACAAGAAGAAGAACTCTAAAATTGCTACTTATACAGAGGTTTCTCATTAGAGCGAGGGGAATTCTTTCAAACATCAAGCTCAAGACAGGAATCTTACGTGAAAGTGAGCGTACCAAAGAGGAGAACTCGTTTGAGCAGTTATAGTCTATGATAGTTTACCTAGTCCTCGTTCCATTGCATCTAGCATACTCTCTGATTCCACCAGACCCTGATAGTGCCTCATTTCCTCTCTGAATGCCTTGTGTCGGCCCACAAACTCATCCACAGACACTTTGGCAACAAAGGTGAGGCGAGCATGTGATTGGTTTGTGCTGGGCGGCCTTGCTGAATGAGGAATGATTCCTGGGGCCAAAGGGAATACACAGCTAGTTATCGAAAGTGTTTTTTTTGAAGCACCTAAAACAGCTGTTACTTGTTTGTTCAGTTAACTCTCAATACAGTAACTGATTCGATTCAATAAGTGCCCCTCTCTAACAAGCGACTTCCTTGAATTTTTTTCTGTTAATAGCGCCTCTACTCTGATAAGTGCCCCTATTTCGTAAGCACTCTCCTACCAATAAGCGCCTCTATTTTGTTTTAGTGAAAACACTACTCGAGTACATCTCCTACCATTATTATGCGAAAACGTTCACTAAATACTTGTTACGTTTACATTTTCTGCAGCTGTTCCTTAAAAAGTCAAAACTTCGTTCCACACATTCTGCTATTTCTCAAAATAAAATAAAATAAAATAAAAAAATAACAATAAGTGCCCTGTCCCTAACAAGTACCCTGTTTCGAAGAAGCACCCGACTCTAAAGGTATCATAAGTAAATAAGCGCCACGGGTGCTAAATCGAATCATTACGGTGACTCAAACCCCTGAGGGTACTCCTATATGAAAATCATAGAGTAATTATTGAAATATCTAAACCTATACCCACCCCCGATAAAACTAGAATTTTGTTCCGCAAGTATGTTTCAATTAAACCCATCTCAGCCCTTATATTTTTAGTGAAATCGCGGGTTTAATGTATTGAGTAGAGATTAACGATAAAAACGTTCTAAAGGGGCCAAACATAACCTCCCACAGGAGCCCATTGGGCTCCTGCCTCCCGTTAATCTGGGACTTGAGTGACTAAGAAACCGGAATAAGCTCTTCCTCGAGCGGAAAATTGGTTCCCTGGGCAGACTTGACCATTTACATATTATACTATAAACTACTAAGGATTTTGATAAAAAAATTGACCTTTTTGTTACAGTTTGTTCATTTTGCATCAGAGATCAAATAATTAACCTATTACAACACAGAATTCTCTGGCAAAAATTTGATTTTGCGTCATGAGCTATTTCACAGCCAGAGGTGGAACCGATGCAAAGCACTTCCTCTTTTTACTTTAAATCTTTCTTCTCCAAACTTCTACATCCCTTAATAAAAACAACAGACACGCATTACACATAATTTTACTCCTTGTGTAGTTTAGTCTTTCTCCGACATCCATCACCAAAACAATTACAAAGATCAACATAGTTATATTTCAGTACCTTGGAAGACAACAGCCCTTCCGTATTTTGGTCGCACCTCAGTGATAATCTCGTTATCATTTGTCATTGTCTCATAGAAAGCTGTTTCTCCATAGTCATTCTTTGTCCAGTTTGGTGTTAGATATATCAGGTATGTCCATTCATCTTCATGTGGCTCACAATCTTGGTGTATACGGGTGTGGTCTGCACTCCTGATCAAGTTACAGGAGATGTCGTAAGGGAACCACTTGTCGCGCCCTGTTATATGTTTTAACGTCTGAAAAACCAAAGTCTTTGTTATCCCTTTACACCTTAACATCAATATGCATATTCTCCATACTGTTCTCTATACATTTCCCAAGGTGCTGATAAGGAGAATTAATTAGTTGGCGACCATTTCTGTTATTCTTGTGACCATAATGTGTGATCATGGAGTTACAATGTTCAGAGAAATTAGATGCTTGTTACTCTTAAGGTTAATAATCCATTTTTGTTTTAGATTATGGTGAATTGTGAGTCAGATTTGATATAGAAATCGAGTATACAAGTGGAAAAAGATGATTCATTCATTAGCATGACTGACTCTAGATAAAAAGATTTCATTACAAGCTTTGATTGGGGTCATCTGTTACATGCTTGGACTGAACACACTTAACTCTTGCCTCTCTTTAGTGCCTCTCATTATGCTGGAGTATCAATGGGCACCAGTGACTTTAAATAGCATTTTGTTACTAGTAAAATTGAACTCTCAAAAGGTTCTTTAAATTTTGTAAGAGGAGTGATGAAAAATTTAGAGACTTAAAACTTTGTCTAACTGTGACAACAAGCTCCTTGAAGCAGAAAGATCTTGTGCTGCACACAAAATTAGCTGGCTTCTCTCACTGCAAGATCAAACTTGTCTGTGAAGTAAATATGACACTTTCCCTCAAACTTTTATCTGGATCTATCACCAAATTCTTGTATCTAGCAGCTAGAGGGGAGAATTAACAATCAGATCTTGGGACATAAAGGGCTAAAATACAAACCAGCTCTTTTTTTATATTTTCTTTTTTTTTTAGCAAAGAATTTTAATTGACAAAGTGGTTTTAGCAGGGGTTTCAAAATATTTTAATGGTGGCAGACACTGCAAAAGTAGGTGACTATAAAAAGTCATGAACCCTTTAACTCCCATGAATGACCAAGACAGAATTTCTCCTTACAATATCAATACAACATCGACCAGATAAGAGATGAGAATAAAGACAAATATCAATTTGGAAATAATTAATTGATCCAATACTAAATTCTCTGAACTAACACTAGAAGAATTGAATGGTTGACAGTAAGGAGAATTACAAATTTAATCTGAGAATTAATGGGTTAAGGGCCAAAAGGTAATTATACTGACAAGAGTATATTGACATGTTATCAAGTGGCTGGTGGAACTCTGATGATTGCTGGCTTGTTTTAATTTGTAACCCCTGTTTTAGATATCAATAGAATTTAAGAATTGAGAGAGAACAAGAAGATTTTCAAATTGTGGCAACTTAACCTAAACAAGCAAGAGAGCTTACCTGCTGCATAATGTTCCAAAGTCTACTTTTGATATATGCATCAATCTCAAACCCTGCGATCCATTGGACATTGTCGCTGTCATCATCACCTTCATCGCTATCATCATAATAATATGTGCCATGCTTGAAAATGAATGCTCGCAACCGATCCAAATCTTCCTTTTCAAACAGGTCATCAAACACATGGATCTCCTTTCCTTCTAGTGATTTAGAACTTGAGACAAAATTCTTCTCAATGTCAATGTCATTTGGTACTGGCTTATTGCTGCCGATAAAACCGGCATCATATGCAGCCTGACGTATAGCTTTTGATGCAGCTACATCTGCATAGCTCTTCAGCATTTTTTCTTTTGATTTTGAGAACTGAACATGCAGAAGCAGCTGGCCTTTCTTGAAAGCAATGCTTGGAGGCCTTGGAAGGTAGGAAACAGAACTGTCCCAAACAACCAGGCGGCCAAACTTGGGAACAGCTCCAGCAACAATTTCAATGTCTTCATCATATCTGGAAAATTATTGTATGGAAAATGACATTGTAGTTCTTAGTCTTTCTTCTTCCCAAACCCTCTTTTAAGACTTCTCCTCTGATACACCCCTCATTTTTAAATTAATAGTTCGGATAATTTAACGCAATATCCATCTTTAAAATATATTTCATCGAGCAATAACTACGAGACTGTGTCAGACTATTACACATGATCACTGATTAAGAAAAACATTAAAAAAATTTATTGTCAGTAACAAAATACTTTGAATAACCCTTTCACTCTCAGATCTCACAAGTATCCCTCCTTACTGTCTGTCGTAAAATTCATATTATGTTAGTACAGAGAATTTTTGCATTGGAAAAACTAATAATCTGGTAAAAGACATCTTTTCTTTATTCTTAACACAACATCTGCCTGATATTGTTAGCATTGATTTTTAACTAAGGAGAAATTCTGTCTTGGTCTCTTATGGGAGTTAGAGGGTCAACTTTCTAAGAATTACCTGAGAAAAGAGTATTGATGATGGAAGCTGACAAGAAAGGATGAATTTCCTTCTAAACCCCTTGTTAAAGGCTTAATAACTTTAATCAATCCTAATATACCCTTAAACATCAGTATGTATTATAATCTCCTATACATTTCCTATGGTGTTGCAGAGAGAATTTGTTTAACAATCAAGAGCTTCTTTTGTTGGTGATCATTTCCTTTATTCTCATGACCTTAATGTTTGATTCAGGGGTGATATTGTAAGGAGAAATTAGATTCTAGTCACTTTTAGGAGTCAAAGTCAGTTTAGTTTATTCAATGCAGTAGATCTGTTTGCTTATGTTTGTAATTATTATACAGGCTTTGTAAAATAAATGTGAATTTGTCAATTATCAGCATAAAATTTATTTAGTACTCTATACTTACAAATATAACTCTCCATAATCATTTTTCCTCCATTTTGGATTCAAGAACATCATGGCAGAAAATTCACCATCTGTTCTATTGGCATCAGTGTAAAGTTTTGTGAAGTCTCCTCGTCGCATAAGTTTCCCTCTTACTTTGTAAGGATAGTAAATGTCTTTTGTGCCAACAGCATCCATCACTGCCTTCTGAATTGTTTTACCCACAATAGATTTTGAAAATTCAACACAGTCTACAGGATTCACCCATGGAATATTATCTGATAACTCTTCGACGCCGCCATCGTAAGGTTCAAAAAGCCGAAACTGCCAGGAACCTAAATCTATATTCAGATAATCTAAAAATGCTCTCAGGGTATTTGGTTTTAAAAGCTTGTCAAAGACAAAAATGTTTCGCCCATCATTTGTTTGATATTTGAAGGATAGGTGTGAAGTAAGGTCAACATCAAGAACAGAATCCTACAAGATTAAGAATTTAACATGATGATTAATAATGGTGATAGGACTTTGTGTTGTCAAATTCGGTCTGTAATCCTATGTTAAGTGATCAACAAAATTGGATGGCTGTGAAGTGGGAGTGCAGTTTATGAATCACGAGGCAAAAACTTAGTATCTTCTTTTGGGCTTGTTAGAGCAAGGTGTTTATGAGAAGATATAATGCAATCTTTGGCTGATCAGAGGGGAGGAAAAGCCAACAAATATATCAATATAAGAGGAATTATCATAGTTAGAAATACAAGTTAATAAGTAACTTAGGACATAAAGCCTGTGAATGGGATTCATAATATGATTATTTGACCCAACATTACCAAAACAATCAATGCATAACGGCTTAAAAGCAATACAGTCTTTTTTCTTTTGCTCAATGAGACAGTAAGAGAAACTGAGGAGGAAAGAAAAAAAAATGAGGTGCTCACATGATAAAAATGCTTATCAACTGAAGTAAGTTGAGCAAGATGGGAAAATATTTGGCTCTTTGTTGGAATATTTGACTCTTGACTCTCTGTCGTAATCTTTAAGCTTTGCTGGCACTTGGTTTATACCTTCTCAACTCAAGCCAAATGTTTCACCTTCATTAGCCCTTGCCCTCAGACAATAGTTGCCTATCTATGTCTAGTGATACCACTACACTCTGCCTGGCTTAACCCTCCAATTCACCAAAGTGATCAAAATTTAACTTCTCCCCATAATATCTATTTATTACCCAACAAACGGGTAATAAGAATACTTAAAGTAAACTCAGCTAAAAGTGGTTATCTTGATCTAACACCATATTCTTGTAACTAGTTTACAAGGAAATGTATATCAGCTAGAGGGGATTACATTAACGATCAGATCTTGAGAGTTGGAAGGCTAAACCAGCAATGCTCCTGTCCATTGAGCCGATCCAAAGCTGGTTAATGATCATTACTTTTAATTCTGTTCACTCTGAGTGTTGGGACAAGTATATAAAATACTTTTAAAAAGCGGTAAACCTAACACTGGAACTCACAACTTTGAAAAAATGAACTTAAAATCTCTGATGAAACCAGAGAGCTGACATTTCAACTTTAAAATATTTCCATAATTAATTTTGTAAAGGTTTGAAGTAAGATTATAATTGCAAAATATTAAACCAGCTGTAGGTACATCAATAGATAAGAAAACAATGTAAATAACGCATTTCCTCAATTGACCTTGCTTGTCGCCTACATTTGGAAGTCGAATCTTCCAACCACTCTAAGTTCCCCAATATATTATGGATTTAACGACTAAATCCGAGTTAATGGTACAATATTAAGAACAAGTAAGCCCAGAATGATAAATAATATCCTAACAACTTTTTCAAGGATTTTTAACTTGTCATGTTTCGTGGATAGTTTCCGAAACTTAATTTGCAACTTTCGTTTTTGTCACATCGTAAACCAAACATAAAAACATATAAAAGTTGTTGGCAGCATGTCAATCGATTTAATATTTGAGAGGTAAAACCCAATAAAAGCCCCAAACCAATTAAAAAACACACTCTGAAAGACTACTACTGCGCGATCTTTCAAAGGAAGATCTTTTGCCGTGTTCTGCTCTATCACCTGCTTAATATCATAACAAAGTAAAGAACACTCTACCTCTACATTTCCCTCTGCAATACCGAACTGAAAATTCTCCTTTGCCTCCCAAACTTGAGAACCTGCTTCAATATCAGCTGTGGACGGAGAAAGTTTACTGAAGAGAAAGAGCGTTAGCAGTAGTTCACGTAGCGCCATGATTTATCTTGTTCAACAGTAGATTTCGCGGTGAATGTTTTAATGTTTTGAGAATAAGTTAATCAGTCAACGATCGGAAGAACAATGGTTTGTCGGCTTCTTAATGGATTGCTGAGTGTGATTTTACGTTCAAGGTAATGTTTCCTAAGAAACTGAATAATCCTTTAAACTGGGTTCTAAAATAATCGCGCTTTGGTCCTCTACTGAGGCAAAACAAGAAAATCGCGTGTTTCAAGTTTAGCTCGTTACTGATTCGAAACTATAATCTCCTTACATAGTCACGCAATTTCCGTTATGCGCGTAGGTCGAAGAGTGCATTAAAGCGTATTATGGAAATCTTCCCTCGATTGGTCTTATCAAAATGAGACGTGAACAGATGGTCAGTCGAAATCAGCTGACTATTTATGACTTGCGATACTTCGAAGCGTCGTTAAGATAGTGTACACAGTATTTCAGCCGATAAAAGGGGAAAAACTTGCAGGAAATCTCTCCACTTTCGCTTGTCTTCTGCGACATGTTGTGGATTGATCACGGAAGAAAATATTTTCCCGCCGGTGGTTCAATTCTGCTGTTATCTTTTGTCTCTTTGTGGTATTTAACAACGGCTTCATCTCAAGGCTATTGCGACAAAGATGGATGTGATGAGATCGGGCAAAAAGGTATTCCTTTACAGTTTATTTTAACTAGATTTTTAATGAAGTAAGGTCAACGACTTTAAGACTTCTTTTAAGTTTTCTGGCAGTTCTGCAAACGATCGATGCTCTAAATGAATTTTCCGCCGGTTCACTAATAGACATTTAGAACTGTGTTTTATATTAAAAACGAGAACACCTTTCTAAGCAACGCGTACGCTGAATACACTTAATTGTTGTATTATGTCAGGCATAGAACTGCCACGAACACATCCAAAATGTTTGTATTTGAACAAAAAATACTTTTGCCGATTTCAGTGGCACTTTTGTACCTACATTAAAATAAAGCTGCAATTGGAGAAACGTTTGTTTAAGAGGTAATGTTTGAGCCGTAGTATTTTTTGACATACGTATAATTTTCTGATTGGTTTGTTTATCGCGGGGTAACCACATGGCCACGTAATTTATACCCAGAGCCTTAGTCGCCACTCACCTGTGCTCACCTTACAGGCTTTGGACAAAAGCGGCTTCTGCTAATATTTGATCGGCTAGAAGAGCAAAAACAACAACAATAGGAAATTAATTCATTCCTAGTTTTTATGTATACAACATGAAATCCTTGTTCAGAACAACAGGTGCATTGGATATCAAAAGGGGGTTTCAGGAGCATGAGTAGACATTTGAACATATTAATCCTTTGGCTCCCAAGATCCAATATGTAATTCTCCCCTCCTTGTGCCATATATTTTCCAATTCAATCATAATGAGAATTTGATGCTCAATCAAGATTACACCTGTTGATTGATTGGTTCGTTCATTCTACAAAGTTTAATTTTTTCCAGATAACATAATGAAGTCACAGGGGTGAGAGAATAAAGCTCTTAAAATTTTCAGATTCAACATCTACTTCTCCATCAGTTTTACTAAAGAATACAAGATGATTAGGAAGGAGAATCTAACAGTTGATCAGAAGTCATAAAGCAATTTTTTTTCCACCCTTTCAATTCCTTTCTCATAAGAGAAGTCACATGTGTTTCACATCTGGGATGGAAAGAATTAGCTTTTTTTCTTTTCCAGGCCACTTGAAACCTTTTGGTGAGCACAGACAAGCAGAAGGTGAAGTTTCAAGTCTGCAGTATGCGCCTGGTGGTGCTGACTTCTATCACAACTACATTCACAAAAGGAGGCCAGTGGTCATCAGAAATGGAGCTAACCACTGGCCTGCAGTCCAGCTATGGCAAAATGAATCTTACTTGACCTCAAATTATGGATCTGAAATTTTCACTGTAGAATATCGCAAGAAATTCAAAAATGAATTTCCGGTTCGAAAACCTCTGGCTTTTAGAGAATTCTTAAATATTTATAGACAGGAAAATGTGTACCTGGATTCTGCATTTCCACAGAACAGTGCCATGTTGAAAGACATTTTTCTTCCATCAATTTTAAACTGCCATGAGATATGGTCAACCATAGACAACCTGAATTTATTATTTAACGGTGGGGAAGCAAATTCTGCTTTTCATCATGATGGATTAGAGAACATTATTACAGTTGTATCAGGTTCAAAGAAGGTATATCTGGTCAACAGCACATATGCAAAGGAACTTCATGCCGATCAGTTTACCATTGCTCCAGGAGTCCTTTCCATTGATCCAGAGAAGTTAGATTTGGAGATGTATCCCAAACTAGCAGATGTACCTTACTATGAAGTAACTTTGAATAGAGGTAAGTTAGCCTTGTTCATTTTTTTAAAATTATTTTTATAACCAGTAATTTTTATCTCTTTCACTCCCATGATCTCATTAGTAACTCTAGTTACTGTTAAACATACATGTCTTATAATGTTAGTTCTGAGAAGTTGGTATTGGATCAACTAGAATAATCCCTGAACCAATATTTTTCTTTGTTCTCATCACTTTTCTGTTAATATATTGTATTAATAGTGTAGGGGGAAATTCTGTCTTGGTCAGTTAAGGGTTAAGAATATATCTTCAAAATAATTGTTACTAGGCATCGCAAAATTTCACATTCTCTGATAGGTGACATGTTGTATATCCCTCAATACTGGTGGCACATAGTGAGATCATATGACTCTCCAAACATTGGCATCAATGTCTGGTTTGCAATGTTCAACTTCGAAGAGCAGTTTAGAAAAGAAGGGATTTCTGAAGACACTGATGTTACAAAGGTACTCTCCCTAATCTTTGATACCAGATTGTTATACTTTTTAAACAAAGATTGTAATACTGTATTTAACATATCCCAGTGGCTGGTTTCAAAAATGTGATTGGTCAGTTTAGCAATTATGAAGTGGAGTATAGCCTTCCAGAATTTTAAGCTGTCAGTTTTTTCCAAATGTTTTGCTTTACGTGGCTAATTGTAATTAACTTTTGTTAGCAAGTGGAAGTTTTTAAAAAACTTTTGTCTTCTGTAGATTTTGTTTAAAAAGGTGCTAGTGACTGACCAATGCTAAATTAACTTCCTTTGCTTGTAGCATTAATCTTTCATTTGAAGCTGTGCTGCAAGGTTAGAAATTAAATCCCAAACTCATGACTAGATGCACAGTAAAGATATGATAAATATTTCACAGAGCATGTCTGCTTAGTCTGGACTCCAAGTTAGGAATCCCTTTTCCCCTTTGAATTTTGGCCTGTAAACTTTACATTCAAAGTGTTTTGTCCATCTTTGTAACAATATGTCCCTGTCAGGGTTCAAGCCCAAACTCAGACAGCTAAAACTATTGTCCATTCTGCCAATTAATTATTTTTTCTTCTTGTATTTTGTAGGTAACAGAGCTGTTTGATAAGTTAGTTGGTTATGAACCTGACAGGATTCAGTGCCCAGAAGAGAAACTTGCCTTGAATGACATTCTCAAAATCAACACTAGTGACCCAAGTAGTGGACCCCTAAGGATTCCAAAACAGAACGAGAGACCACCAGATGTTGTCCTTGCAAGTGGATATACAAGTGAGTGATGACCAGTAATAAGCATGATACTGATTGTGTTATTTGCTGTAACCATTTGAAGTTAGAACAATTTTCAACTGAGCATGAAAAATAATCCAGGATTGCAATTTGGTTTAATGCTTTACCTCTCTCTGAGGTTGGTCCAGAAAACTTGTGCCACTTTCTCAAGCAATTAGATGAAAGACTACTGTAAGCCAATCACAACTTGATCCCCTGCCTTTTCCATGCGTTAAGCAGTTTGGTTGTCTTTACTTTTAGTTCCCATTGGTTCTTAAATGTATTTTCCTTCTTCTGACTGGCCATTGCGATTGCTTTGGTTTTGGTTTTACAACACTCAGTCAAAAAGCACACTAACCATGTCGAGTGATTCTGTTTTATGCTTTCTTAAGTACAGATAGAATGATATGGGAGAGAGGGTTTTGGAAATGGGTCTAGGTGAAAATGTTCTTGAAGTTAAATTTTCAGGCTTTGTTTGTTGGAAGGTTGGATAACTCTGTCCAATGGACAGCTCAGTATCCAGGGGATAGAGCAGTATATTTTGCTATATCTTATTCACTTTTACAGTGTTTGCATCTCCCTCCTTATCCCTTTCTTCTAAACTTACCCCTTCATCCCCTCCATCTTTCTATTCTTACCACTCCTCTTCTCCGCACACCCCCCCCCCCCCCATGTCCTTTTTTTTTTTACCTCCAATACTATAATCATCTTGTTAGGTCCAAAGTTAACTTGAGATTAAGATTTTCCTTAAATATTGTTGGCACTTTGTTCTTTTCTTTCACAAAAATATGCCTCTTTCTTGTTTGTTGTTCCAGTGTCAGTTTTGAACTATTCCATTAATCTCTAAAAGCAAATACAAAATTTACTCACCTGCCAGCCAACAAGATTTTAGTTTCTGGTCATTAAATGGTGACTTTGAAAACACTTTGAGCTTGAGCTGGAAGTCCTATTGGTTCTAATGTAAATTTAAGACTATGATTTAAGTTTGACTTTGTTTAAGTTACTGACTAAAGGCTACCCTGAGAGTTTTAAACCAGTTAACCTTAAGAGTGAGTCGTATCTAATTTCTCTCAGGAGTATCACCCCTGAAGCAAACATGAAAGTCATGCAATTAAAAGAAGTGATCACCATTTAGAGAAATTCTTGATTGTTAAACAAATTCTCCTTGTCAGCACCTTAAGGAATGTATAGAGAACAGTTTGGAGAATATGTATACTGATGTTAGGGTGTAAAGAGGTTTGAATATCAGTAGTGACATGCTATGATGTATTAGTCATTGTTATATTGAACATTCTTTATGTTTGCACCTCCACAGTGCCAGTCATGGGGTTTGGTACAGCAACACTGATGGAAAACACGACAGAAGCCGTAAAGACAGCTCTTGAAGTTGGTTACAGGTAAAAAAAACTTGCCATTAAACGGCTGGGAATATATGAAAGTCATATATTTGAGCTGTGGATAAAGACATGAATATGAAAGCGATCTTCACAGTTATGAACACTACTACTTCTTTTCACTACTGTTTAAGTAGTGGTCATAACTATGAAGATCGCTTTCATATTCAAAATTGCCATTAGTGTTAAAAACTTTAAATTTTAAGAAACAGTTTAAATCTTATGGCACACAAGGTTGAGATGTTGGGTGTTTTTTGGTTTTTCGATCAAAAAATCTTTCCAACTTAAAACTGAGCTCTTGTTTTGAGAAATGCAGAACTAAGCCAATTTAAATAGTAGCCTTTTGCTAGTACTGGGTGTTTAACCCTTCACACCCTAACACCAGTGTGCATATTCTCCAAACTGTCCTCTATACACTTCCTAAGATGCACAGAAGGAGAATTTGTTTAATGATCAAGAGCTGCTTCAGTTGGTGATCATTTCCTCTATTTTCATAACATTAATGTGTGATTCAGAGGTGATTTTGTGGGGAGAAATTAGATGTTAATCAAGGGATTTGAACTTATTATCTGTCTGGGTTTATTTTGTTTTTGGTATGCTTTGGTGGAGTTGTTTAATCCCATTCACGGTGAGCTCTTATGATTTAGACCAGCTGACTCTCAAGCAGACATGACTTTCTCAAATAACATCCTCCAATTTCTTTATCTCTAAATAGGTTGATTGACACTGCACAAGGCTATCCTGACTCAGAGCCACAAGTTGCAAAAGCAATTTCAGAGAGTGGAATCCCTCGAGCAGAAATCTTCATTATGACCAAACTACACCCCAGATTTCTTGGCTATGAGACAACATTAGAAGCCATTGAGATGTCTCTGAAATCTCTGAAAACGGACTACATCGATTTGTTTCTTATACATTCTCAGGCCTGCGACGACTTTCTCCTCATCTGCGGAGAAGGCAAGTTTTTTTCATAATTATAATTATCCCATATTGTACTATTTAGTCCCACTCCAACTCACCCCTTTCTCGGACATCCATTCCCTCATCCCTGACCTCTTCCCCTTGACATTTCACTCTTTATCTCTCACTACTGACCCCCCTATCGCTATCTCTCACATTTCTGCCCTCACCTTTTGCTCCTTGTCACTAACCTCTGACCCTTGACATTTGACTCTTCACCCTCACTGTTGACCCCTCGCCCCTATTTCTTAAATCTCTGCCCTTACCCATTATTATCTAAGCCTAACATTTCCGTACTCACTTGATTCATGGTCCTTGAAAAGCTGGGTGGGCATGGTTTAAGTATTTGTACTGTAAACTTTGATCTTTTGTTTGATTTTCATTAAAAAAAATAGTTCTAGCGGATCACTTGAGCAAGAAGTTAATATGTTGATGCTTTTAGGAGAACCCAAAGGCACATGGCAAGAGAGCTGGAAAGCCATGGAGGAAATGCAGAAGAAGGGAAAGATACGTAGCTTAGGTGTCAGCAATTTTTACATACAAGACCTGGAAGAACTAGTAAAACTTGCTACAGTACCAGTATCAACAGTCCAGAACTGGTTTGACCCGTTTCATCAGGACAGGCAAGTTCGAAAGTTTTGTCAAGAACATAACATCCGGTACATTGGGTATTCAACTCTCGGTAAGGTTTTGTTGAATAAGATCTTTGAAATATCAGTTACTTTTACTTCTACTGGCTTTAACGTGTTTGTACTTGTTATGTTTATTTGTGATGCTCAATGTCTGGCATTTGTAATCTCCTCCAATCCTCACCGTCCTTGGATAAGCTTTTTCGTTATTAGTTTTTGTTGCCTCCCTTGAGCTGAAGGAAATTTTTGCACCTCACGAGGAAATGACTCAAATTTAGTGAGGCGAACTGAAAAGGTTTTCACGAAAGATGAGGTTTAAATCAAGTTTTTTTTTCCATGGACTAAGGTTAGTTGAACGAACCCGAGTCAGTGATTTTTCATCTATCATCCTTTTTTTACATAGTTGTCTCTTTCCTGTAGGCACCCAATGGGTTTACTTCCACGGTTTGCAGAAAAACCCTGTCCTTCATTCATCGCTGATTTTAGAGGTTGCCAGCCATTATGAGTTTGTTGCATCTCAAGTCGTTCTTCGCTGGGCCATTCACATGAACGTCACAGTCATTCCGCGGTCAAAAAACCCTCGCAACATTTACTTGAATTTCCGGGCCTTGGACTTCTCCTTGAACGAGAATGAAATCGTGTATTTCACCAACATCACTGATTATGAGTACCATCCTCTGGAACAGAAGCTAGACAAAGGATTAGGTTAGTATGATAGAAAGACAAAAAAAAAGTCCAATAAAACTTCTGAATTGTAGACTTCGTCCTTGATGGAGATATTCTGCGAAGAAATCAGTGCTAAAGGCGGGAAAATTGTAATCAATGACAGGTGCGGGAAAACTTTTAACCAATGACAAGCGCGGGAATTCTTTTTACTTGTGTCGAGCGCGGCAAAACATGACACTAGTGTCAAGCGGGGGAAAACTTATAACCAATGACAAGCGCGGATTACATTTGACAGACGCGGGAAAAAGTGAAATTAGGCAAAAGCGCGGGTAGTGCTAATTTAGGGAAATGCGTCATTAGTGACTAGCGCGGGAAACTTGCTCTCAGTGAAAAGCGCCGAATAATGTGTAACCAATGAAATCCCCGGGAAAACGCGTGATCAACGAAAAAAGAGGGAAAAACATTAATCTAGTATCCCCGAAAAATATTTTAAAAAATGTGAGGGCCAAGCCCGGAAAAATCCAACAAACAAGAGGATCATTTTCCTACTCAGTGCAGACGGTGATTTTTTTTCCTTGCAATTTATTTTTCGGAATATGTGGACGATCTGATAAATTTCTTTTTAAAAAGTTACAAAAATCCTCGTAACAGACTTCATAAACCCTCCGCAGGTTGCTCAGATAAGCATTCAAACTGTGAACAGTGGGCAACTTCAGGGGAATGCAGAACCAATCCGGACTGGATGCTGGTTAACTGTCAAGAAAGCTGCGGGCTTTGTTGTGAGTTTAACATAACCAAAATTAGATGTATCTTCTTAAATGTGGCTATGTTGACTAAAACCTCTCCTTGTAGCTTACATTTTATAATGTTCTTCTTCAGGTTGGGGTACAGTGTCTTTACCACCGTTATAACTCAGCTGTTATAACTCACATGACGTAGCTTTATGGCAGGTCGTGGATAAACTACGTAGTGATATTTTACCTTTAAATTTTCCCTAGAGATTAAGAATCAAGTGGGCGTAAATTGATTTAAAGTTTTTTTGATTTCTTATCGTCGAACTGCCAAGGGCGAAGATGAAATGAGGGCTCAATTGACAGTTAACTCGAGAAACCGAGCGTTTTTGCTATTTAAACATGTAATGGGCCTGCAAACCACCATTTTCCACTGAATATTCATAATTCATTTCGCATGGTTTATTTTTTATCTTCCTCTTTTTATTAGATGACGAGGACTTCGGTGATGCCTCAGCGATACCACCGATGGTGTTTATTGGTTCTGAAGACCACTTCATGTATGCACTCGGCGCAGTTAGCGGAACTGTCATCTGGAAATTCCGAACTCTTGGCAAGATCATGTCGTCTGCATCGCTCAGCCAGGACGAGGAGATCGTTTACTTCGGCTCCGTGGATGGTAAGGTGTACGCACTTGGTGCAGCCAATGGTTCAGTCGTTTGGACTCTAGTAACACAAGGTGCTGTTGTGGCCAGCCCAACTGTAAGTGTGAATGGAACTGTCTTCATCGGTTCACAGGATAAGATTGTTTATGCTGTGGATGGTAGAAATGGATCTGTTGTTTGGAAGACAGATCTTGGCTGCCCAATTTGGGGTGCTGTCGCTGTGGACAACCAAAGAGGACTGCTATTCGTCGGCTGCACCACGGATAAGTCGAACGCAACGGATTCTCAAGACACACCTCATGTTTTCGCCCTCGAAGCCAACCTGGGCAAAATCGTGTGGACTTTTGACAGTGCTGGAAGCGTTTATGGCTCTCCAACACTTCTGCCTGGTGGCCAAACCGTATTCTTTGCTTCCCTAGACCATAATATCTACGCTTTAGACCGCGAAACTGGTAAACTATATTGGTTGTATGACACGGGGTCCGAAATAGAGTCCTCTCCAGTGGTCAGTAGGTTGGACGGTACCCTATACGTTGGCTTGATTAAGGGTCAACTGATTGCTGTTAACTCCGTGAGCGGTCCTTTGGCGGGAAAATTGAAGTGGACAGTGAATACTGGCGGGGAGGTTGTGTCATCGCCTGTCATCACTGAGGACGGAAGGGTGAGTGAAGTTTGTCGCTGCGTACCAACTCTTTCAATTAGATTGGATTAAAGTTCATATAACAAGGCTTTCTGAAGTGCAGGAAAACGCTAGGGACCAACTAACGACTAGCTAGAGCTTTGTATGTGATTGGTTTAACAGGTAGCAAGATTTTTTTTTTTGAATCAATCACTACGCATGAAGATATCAAATGATTACAGTCCAGATCACGTAAGAAACCTAATTGAAAACTGCCTCCAACACCGAATTCCTTGCCTACTTTTCTAGTTAACAGACCTGTAGAATTAGCGAAATACAATTCGAAATGACATATAGAGCCTCGTTGTTCTAATCTGTGCAATTCTGTCATCTAAAACCACAGGTTTTTGTAGGATCTGGCGATGGGCGCATCTTGGCACTCAACCAAACTGACGGTTCACATATATGGTCTCCAACAACAGGTGACTACATCGTGGCGTCGGTGGCTGTTTCACGCGATAACGCCGTATACGCCGCTAGCTCGGATAAATTTGTTTACGCTCTACACGGTGATGATGGCTCTGTCATTTGGAAGTTTGAAACTGGCGCTGCTGTTGTTGCGACTCCAGCTCTTTTTCCAGAACAAGTTATGCCGATTGGATAAACTAAATGAAACATTGATCTGTTAATTTAATAGATAGAACTTTAAATCAGTTTTTTGAAGGCAGAAAACTAAAGCTTTAGTTAACAAGTGAGTGGCCAGAGTACGAGAAAGAAGCTCAGCAACAATAAAAATTCGTAAAAAGGTACACGTGATCGTCGCTAAACGCGGGAAATCAAACGCGTGCGACCAAGTTGTGAGTTGCTCATTTGTTTTTTCTCTAAATGATACAGTTGTTTGGCGCAAATCTCGAAGTCTTGAGTTTTTTTGTTTTGTTTTTCATTTTGTTTGTTTGTAATGCCATTATTTTTTGAAAACAATGAAGTATAATTATTTATATACGAATATAATATATGAAAGAATCTTTTCAGTAACTTTTCTGTTGTAATGAAAAACCAACAGCAGTAAGCAGTTATATAAATTACATTAAAAGGAACAATTTTACTTTATCTTGCTTCATAGCGCGATCTTGCTGTATTTCATTTACGTTTTCAAAATAACTGATATAGAATCAGAGAATCTGAAACGTTTTTGCAAGACGAAGAGCTCTCAACAATGACAATCGAAATACATGGTATCTTTTCTTTATTACGTAGCTGACAGCACCCGTGGGCAATATGTAGCCGGAATCCTGCATGTGTTCCGATCGGCTACTTGAGCAGCCAACATGAGCCCATCTTGCCCGCTCGGGATTGCGCGCTTTGATCCAACGTAAGAAAAAAAAAGTGCGTTGAGCAAACTTTCATAAATCGGACATGTCGGCGATGAAACTGCAAAAGCGGCAGAAGAAAGTTAAAACAAAGGGAACATAAACGAATCTCGCGGATGTATTGTGCCACAAACACATTTGGCTTTCTTTCCCAGCTCTCGAAATGAAAAAGTTAATATTGATTCTTATTGAAAGCGGGATATTTTTACTATTTTACTGGCCAAACTTGTTCGGTCAGGATGACTGAATATTAGCCTCGTTCTTTTTTCGCCTTTTATGGACCTCGACTTCGTCTCTGTTCATAAAAAAAGCAAAAAAATAAAAAAAGAACTCGGTCAATATCCAGCCTCATTGACCTCACGCTTTATTAGTAACGTATATGAATCTGGCTTTGTTTTCATTCCAGTTAAGACTGTTGGTAATGACGTCAATACTTCACTGGTTGGCGTTCATGAACTTCAATACTGATCGAGGATTTTTTATTTTGGTGCAAATGATAAAGCTCTATATAATTATCTAAGATTTGTTTCCTTTCTTTGCAGGGTCATAATACTTCTGAGATCATATTTCTCGACGCAACAAAACACTAATTTTCGAAAATATCATACAAGGTTCATACAAACTGTTTAAAAACTCAATTCAATTTGTTATAAAACATTCTTGGAAGAAAATAAAGCAAGATAGTCACATAGCATGTTTGCCCACGTCATCGAAGAAGGATTGTGTTACATCGAAAATTTACTCTTAACTTCTCATTGGGAAAATTCCGCCCATAAATTATTTAACTTGAATCCAATACTAGATCAGCCCATGAGGAAACTGAAATACTTTTCAGTCAAGTGTTATTTTAAATTTAGCGGAGTTATAATAGTTTACCAAACCCACGTGCTAATACTTGTGATCAGTTGCTATGAAAGAGCTTGTTACCAATTCGTTGATGAAGTGCCAATTGCTGTTTCATTTTCACAATACTGCATATTTAATTTTTTCATATTTGTTGTCTTCATTTTCTTTCAGCTGTAGTTTGTTGACGCAAGTATGTAGAAAATAGGCTATTTTTGTTTACCTTCCTCGTTCAAGATATTTGCTGATACTTAAAATAAGACAGCGTTGCTCAATTCTGTTGAACACTTTCTTAGAAACTTCGCTTAGCAAAATCGAGGAACGCTGTCGACCTGTAAGCGAAATTCTAATTTGTTTAACTTCCACCAATTAAAGAAACCAAAATAGCCAGAGGGGATAATTTAAAAAATTTATGTCTCCAATTTACAAACAAAAGAAGTATTAATACATGCTGCGTGAAAAAAAACGGAATTTCTAGGGCTAAAAAAGATGACAATTAAATTTAAAGAAAAGAGACAATCAATTCCTAGAGAGAAATTCTTTAGGAGCACTTTTTTTTTGATTGTCCAGCTTCAAGCCTGAAATAAAGGCTTCACACTGGACACGTTTTCTCGCTTTCATTTTATTACACGGTCGATTTTTTTTTATCCTCGTTGCTCTTACTAAATCGTCATGGGTTCCTGTAGTTACGTAAAAGCGCTCTTTACATTTATGTAATTGCCTCATTTTTTGACGTAGCGAGGAAATCACCCACATATGTCAGGATATGAATTTGTCTCCTTTTTCATATGATCTGAATTTTTCAAAATTGAAATGAATTATACTACGCAAGATATCATACTATTGAAGTACTCTTTTCACTTAAATAATACGTCTGACGTTACCATGTGACAAGTTGTATTAATTTGATTTCCCTTTTGAGAAAATGATCTATGTCTCGCCCCGGGCTTGAGAATGCCTGTTGCTTTTCACTTAAGCGAGTTAACTTTGTTATCACGTGGTTTCCATCAATTTTTAATTTTGTCCCAGAAGAAATCCTATATAAGATCACATAATCAATCCAAAATTTGCCGTCCTTTGAGCGACACAGTCCTATCTGGTTTCGGATTTTGTCAGTTTATTTGTTTTGACTGACGTGGACCGCCCCTCCCTACGAAGCGTGACTTTCTGTTTTAAGAAGTTTATCAAATTAGCGAGTGGACATGTTAATTTCATTTCCGGCAGCCAAAACAGTGACAGCTGATCGTACATCTCCGGTCAAAGATCTTGCTTACACTTCTTCATCCTCTAACCTTGTTATAAATAGGTCTAATAAGCACTCTGAGGACGAAAAGGCAACATTCTCGCCACAGTGATGTCTTTAATCGGGTTATATCCGTGTTCGAATATTTCTGCTCCAACAGCATTGAGCATTACATCTGCGACGTTCTGCTCCCTACTCGCCGTTACAGCTGTCACAGGCAATGTCCTGATACTTATTGCCGTAATTATCGACCCAAATCGCAATCTACGATCACCATTTAACTTCTTGGTGGCTAATTTAGCGGCAGCAGATCTGATTGTCGGTTGTGTTGCGCTTCCAATGTCAGTGGAATTCTACATTCGCGAATCGCTAACCGAAAAGATAACTCTCCTTCCGAGAGATGACGTTCGGCGAGTCAGCTCCTTCATCTCTACGACGGCGTCATTGTTTAGCTTAGCCGCTTTGACTGTGGACAGATTTATTGCGATTACAGATCCGTTGAAATACAAGATAAAACTGACTACAAAGCGAGCTGCCATTATTTCGTTTGTACTTTGGATCGTGTCAATTGGCTTTCCATTTCTTTACTTTAAAGTCGGTTACTTGAAGTATCAATTTGTCTTCGCAAATACAGCGGTAGTGGCTACGTTCTCTGTCATGTGCCTCACCTATACGAAGGTTTTCAAAAGCTTTAAAAAACAAGTGAAGAACTGGGACAGTTTACACCATGGTCGTGACAGTGACAATCACCTGAAAATGAGAGCCATAAAGTGGGAGAAGAAAATCACAAAAACTTTTATTATCATGCTGGCGCTGTTTATCAGCTGTTTTCTCCCGTCCTTGCTACTTATCTACGTGATAAGCTTCTGCGGAAGTTGTAACTGCATATTTATTCACTGGGCAAGAGATTTAAATTATATTTTAATCATGGCCAATTCAAGCATGAATCCTTTCGTCTTCGCGTGGCGTCTCCAACCGTATCGCAAGGCTTTCTCAAAGATTCTAACTTCTGGAAAAGTCGTCACAAAACTGCGTTCGGTTTCTCTGCAGATGAGCCAGTCAATGAACTCGCTATCGTTAGGTCCTACAGTTTCAGGAACTTACACCACAAATACAACTTCGAGTGACAGTCCATTGTAACTCAGCTGTTTTTCTTTTCTCTTCTTTTTTTATTTAGCTCTCCTATTTGCAATAGATACACTGTCAGTTTCCTAAGGTCAAAAATGTTACGTCTGAGATGTAACAACGCATCTAATTGTCACAGAGAATAGACACAAACTGACGATAGTATTTTTCACTTTCAAGTTTCTTCAAATTCGAAGATAATTAAAAATATTTAAAACTGGTCACCAATACTGTAAAATTGGCAAGCTAACTTTCTAGCATGTAATATCGATATTAGCAATTGTGATATTTCGGGAATGATTGCCGCCTATGTAAACAATTCCTAAAAAAATCCAAGCTTGTTTTGTTTTGATTTTTTTTTTCGCCTCGCCAAAATACTTTTCCCAAATCTACTGAAAAAAAAAGAAACCATAAAAATCTGTTGAAGGTATGGTAGAAATATTTTTGTTTGTATGTAGGGTCATTGCTATCGAAAAACATGCTGGCTCCAAGTACTATTTTTTTTTTATTAACAGCATTCATGTTGCCTCGCTATTTACACTCATTATTTATTCAGGGCACTGCGCACTGTTTGTTTCGATATTAGCTATTGAATACGGTATTCCGTTGAAACGAATGGGTATTGGAGACCATAATGGTGTTTGAACTAGCTGCATAACAGAGGTTATTTATGATTGGGTCTTTTAACTTCGGGGAAATTACAGTTGACAACCTTTCAACTTGTAAAACATGGAACAATGAGCCAGTTGTATTTCCCTTTCAGTATATTAAAAGTCTCTACAAGCTTGGGATCTTAAAGGCTACCGTCAGTAAACTCCATTCTATTTTCGTCGACGTCGATTGTAAAGTGATGTGCCCGAGTAAACGGCGGTGAGTAATCATGCGGAGGGAAGGAATCCCTAAGAAGAATATTGAGAAATGCACACGGGGGGGGGGGGGGCAATTAAAGTTTGCTAAGGGAGAAGGGATGCTCCGTCGAGCCACCAAAGCCGTTAATAACCGTTTGTAATCTCTTGACAAAATAAAACATGTTATTCTTGGCGCAACAAGAATCATATCGTCATACGAACTGCACTTCGGCAACTTTCACATCCTTTCATGACTTTCAGTTCCCAAATACACCCTGTTAGAGATATTACATAGAATAACGACTTCATAGTCTGTCAAATCTACGGAGCAGGTATATACTCGATTTGGTCAAATAAGGGAATACCCCTCCCCCCTCCACCCCCACCCCAATATCCCACGCGCTCCCCGTCAGGATTTGGGACCTTTTTCTTTCGACAATAAAAAAGGGGGTTGGCAGGAATTCTCAAAAGGGACTCACGAATTTTGGCACGCCTTACGAATGTTTGCACGAAAGCCAAAGAGGGAATTCCGACTTCTGACTTCAGAATCTTTAAATTTTGTCACGGTTTACATTTCTCGTTACACACGGATACACTTTATTACACATACTCAACCAAGATGCTAAACGTGGTGTACGCCCGCGATAATCAGCACTGACAGAAACAATATGGCGTCATCCGGTGATAATGCCAGAGTAAAGGTTTGTTAACTTTCTGGTAGAATAAGCCTTAGCTTTCTTTCTCTTTTAATTGAAAATACTGCATTTTTTTGTTCCCTGAAGGGTGTCACAGTCATAAAACCTGTAATATTTGGAAATGTGTCTCATTACTTTGGAAAGAAACGTGAAAGCGACGGCCACACTCATGGTTGGACAGTTTTTCTTCGCCCTTTCAAAAACGAGGTTCGTACGTCTGCCAAATTTCTCGCCAGTGGCTCTGAAAAAGCAGTTCGTTATGTCTCAAATAGAAATATGGAAGTATTGAAAATAAAATTACATCTCAAGAAGAATAATCGAAGTATTCAAAATGTGGTTGTATTTTATAGGACATGTCCAGCTATGTAAAGAAAGTCCACTTCAAACTTCATGAAAGTTATGCTAATCCCTTAAGAGGTAAGAAATTCGAGGAGTGATAGCGAGATTAAAAGAGAAAGATGAACAAAGAGACAGTCACTGACCGACTGATCAACAGAGATGGACCTGTAGACAGATGCACTGCAGACAGACAGAGAGTCACAGATAGACAGACAGTCAAACAAATCACAAATTAGAGGAACTGATGACGATATGAAGGTTGATGTAACATGAAGACAGAGTTTAAGAGACAGACAGATACATAAACAAAGGAAACATACGTAAATCAAAGCAGTAAGATTTCCATAGAGAGCCCTATACTGGGTTACCGGTCACCTCGCCACCAAGCAGACTCGCCACCAGCGAACTCGCCACCAAGGAACGATCTCGCCACCAACGTACTCGCCACCAAGCGAAGTCTTCTCGCCACCAACCCCCAATAAAGAGATAAACTAGAATAAAGTAGTCGAGGAGAGTAGGATGTTCGAACGAGCACAATTCAAATCGGCCGATACGTTTGTGCGCTTGTCTGTATTTAAATTATGACCTTCAGCGACGTGTTAGATGGTTCCGTTCCTAACTCATTGACATCGAAACGTATCGTGTTTGTCTTTTGCACGTAAGCGAGGATAAATTGCAAAACTCGATGCGAGGAATAAAAACTTACTTGAGAGAAAATGAAACTTCATGGGAAGAAATAAGTGATGAAATGAAACTCGATAGCAGTTGGATTAAAACTAAATGCGAACGAACAACTTACGTTTATAAAGTTTGAGTACAGACAAGCGAACAAACTTATCGGTTCCGAACGTGCTTTCGACAACATACGTTTATAAAGTTTGAGTACAGACTTATCAGCCGAGCATCCTACTGTCCTCGACTAATCTCTTTATTGGTGGTTGGTGGCGAGAAGACTTCGCTTGGTGGCGAGTACGTTGGTGGCGAGATCGTTCCTTGGTGGCGAGTTCGCTGGTGGCGAGTCTGCTTGGTGGCGAGGTGCTTGGTGGCGAGGTGCTTGGTGGCGAGGTGACTGGATACCCTATACTGTTGTCAAACAAAGCCTTAATCCCAAAGACAATTTATTGTTTTTGCTATTGTTTTCTTTATTCAAGAACTGTATGCATGATGAATTATAGGGCAGTGTGGAAATTTTACCATCAAAACGGTATAGATGCACAACTGAACAGAGAGATGTAACAACAGACAGATACTAGGTAGATGGATAAACAAGAAAAAATAAACAAGAAGCCTTCTTCTTCTTCTTCTTTTTTTTTTAACCCTTTTACACCCTATGATTCATATTCTCCATACTTTTCTTGGTACATTTACTAAGGTGCTGAATAGGAGAATTTGTCTAACAATCAAGAGTTTCTTTAGTTAGTGATCAATTACTTTATTCTCATAACATTAATGTGTAATTCAGTGGTGATATTGTACTTGGAGAAATTAGATGCTAGTCATACTTTGGGGTAAAGGGTTAAATTCTTCCCCAATTTTGTTATAAATAATTGAATCGAAGAAGCTTTGTCTTTATAGCAATTTGATTTGAAACTTTGCTTCTTTTTGTTGGACTTGTGAATTAGAGAAGGGTGACAAAGGGTTGATATTTGATGCTTTACACTCTAACATGAGAATGTATATTCTCCATACTGTTCTCTATACATTTCCTAAGGTGCTGAAAAGGAGAATTTGTTTAACAATCAAGAGCTTCTTTAGTTGGTGATCATTTCTTGTATTCCCTTGATCTTAAATGAATGATTCAGCATTATTAATGTGAGGAGAAACTAGATGCTGGTCACTCTTAGGGTTTAAAGGGTCAAGGCTCAAACTGATTTGTGCTGCAAGAATTTACATTTATTTTCTCTTTCATTTTATGAAAACCTCAAGAGTTCCCTGAAACCTTGTACATAAGAAGAGAGATTTGAAGTTTACCCTTTCAAATTTGCTATGTGTGAGAATTGTTGGTTAGAGTATTATGTGAAGTATGAATTTGTCTAAAATTTGTGCATAAAACAAGATAAGGACCCTTTTACCACCCTCTTAGAGGTGGTGCTTTGCCATAGCATTTAACTGTTTGAGTCATGTGCTGGGACATGTCTACCAACATTTTTTTTTTGTTACAGTGGTAACAAAGCCTCCATATGAAGTGAATGAGTCGGGTTGGGGAGAATTTGAAATACAGATCAAAATATTTTTTATGGACCAAAGTGAAAGACCGGTTAGTACACTTTCTATGTAGACCTCAAAGTGTTTACAAAACTGTAGCTTCTAAAATAATGATCTGTCTTGTTAAATCTTCTCGAAATGTCACTAATTCTTATATCATTGCACATTTATGCAATTGCACATATATTATTTCTAGGCTATCATATGTTTTGTGATTATGAGCATTTAAAGACAGTAAATTTCAAAATGTTATGGTATATAAGGGATGCAATACCAAATTGGTTTTGATAAAATCAAGTAAATATGAGAGAAAGAAAGAATGCCATGCTAACCTAAGGGGCTTTGTTAGGGTTTCTGCGTGGTCGAACATTTTACACATGGATTTCCTCAGCTGGTCACTTACAATGCGTGTCAATATTTTTAATCTCTTCAACTCCCAGAAGTGATTAACATGTAACTTCTCCCTATAATTTTGATACATTATCCAGCAAACAGGTAATGAGAATACTCAAACTTATCAGGTGGAAGTTGTTATCTCGATCAAACACCAATTTCTTGTGCCTAATTTACAAAGAAATGTGTAGCAGCTAGAGGGGAGAATTAACAATCAGATCTTGGGAGTTAAAGGGTATTACCTCATTGTTCATCCTCAAATTACTGTTGATTTGATCCTCTTAATTTTTTATCCGTTTTTTAATCTTGTGCATTGCACTATTTTATTTTGTGGCTTCTCAGCATCACATTTAATTAGCACATTAAAAAAATCTCTGTAAATCCTTTTTGTTTAATGCCTACATTTTGTATGAAGTTTCTTCTGGCATTCAGTTTAAAAAATGTTTGTGTTGTAATTTTTTTTCTACAGGTTACATTTTATCACCTTTTGAAGCTTTTCCAAACAGAATCTGCACTTGCCTCTGGAAAAAAACAGCTGGTTTCTGAATTCTATGATGAAGTTGTAAGTAGGACATATGTGTTTGGCTATGTTTTTTCTTCCAATTGGACCAAGCATTTTAGCGGTTGAATGTCTTAATCCATGTATTTTTGTAGATTTTTCAGGACCCCACCCAGATGATGCATCAATGTTTACTCAGTGCAAGACAGTTGCAACCCATAAAACATGAGTCTGACTGTAAGAACGTTTTTTGAATAATTTTTTGAATTTTTTCATTTATTTTGAGACTGGAAAGTAACTAATGGATTAGACTTATTGAGTTATTTTTCCTAATAAAAATAATAATAATAATAATAAAAATAATAATAATAATAATAATAATAGTAATAATAATAATAATAATTATCCAGTGGAAATTGAATTAAGCAGGTTGATCACTTAGGACCAAGTGGAGTCCAATTTGGTCTGCAATCAAACACATTAGTGATTGACAAAATTGGACTGTAAAGTAAGAGTCTGATTTGTTAATCTCGAATATGATTACTGACAGAATTGGACAACAAGATGTTGTGTTACGAATGAATCATAACCATTTAAATTTCTGAAAAAAACAAATACACCTAGAAAAAATGTCTCCAGTAGAGACAATGTCTTTATTAAAAAATTTCTCCATTTTGGAGATTCCCCAGTTTTTCTTTGGATAAGAGGTTGTTGCCATGGTTATTTTGATCATTTCTGTGATTTGTGGATTAGCTTAGTGGACCTAGTATGATTGGCTACTTCAACTGTTGGATTACAGGTGTCCAATTACAGCCAACTGTCAAATTACACTGTCCAATTATAACAACTACAAAATGATTAGTGAAAAATGAAGCTGCAAATGCACCAATAATATTTGAGGAATTTGTAATGGTTATGATTAATGCAGGTTCTACAGAACAGGGTTGTTATAACAACAACAACAACAACAACAACAACAACAAAATGCCATGTTATTCCAAAATGTACAAAAACTTGCTCCAAAAAAACTACTAAGTGACATTGGTTTTGGGAGATAAACATGGATTTAGTGTTTACTTGAAAGATTATTCTTAATTATATTAGAGTGGTTCACTTTAAGTGTCTTTTTACAAGAAGGAAGACAAAAAAAATAGACCATTAGAACTCAGTAAAGGGTGACCACCATTGCTTAATAGAGGTGAAAATTATTACTGTCAGTATCTAAGAAGAAAAAACTTTAGGACTTTAACAACCAACTGCTTAATACAGGGTGACTGCTTGGTACGTTGCGGCGTAATACAGGTTTGACTGTACTAGCTTGACTTAAATGCATTCCATCAGACTTAACCCTTTACACCCCAACATCAGTATGCATATTCTCGTTCCTGTTCTCTATGCATTTCCTAAAGTACTGACAAGGAGAATTTGTTCAACAATCTAGAGCTTCTTTAGTCTGTGATCATTTCCTTTATTCTTGTGACTGTAATGTGTAATTCAGGGGTGGATTGGCTTAACTTTTAATTAATGTCCTGTTCAGCATAAGTAAATATGGCAAGCTAGATTAACTTGCTGTTTTGCTTTTTCAGTAGCATAAAATTAAAACTGCTTGGTACTTTACCTTTTCACTCCCACGAGTGACCAGGATATAATTTTTCCTTACAATATGAAATACAATGTCAAGACAGCAAGCACTGAAATTAAAGGAAAATATCAATCATGGGATTACCATTTGATCCTACACTAAATTCAAGAACAAAAATTGTTAGCAATGTGTTGCAGACAGGAGGAAGAATTAGTTAGTAAATCTTGGGAGTGAAAAGGTTAAACCCCCAGGCATCAATCATGTTACAGCACAATTAGTCAGAATTTTCATTCATATAAAAATTCTGGATACTCATTTTCAGTATTGTTTTGTGCGAATTTCTGTCGATAGTTCAGACACGTTATTCAGTAACCTGGGATTTTATCTTTATCTGCATTACAGGGGCTGAAATCGAGCAAAGAACTACAGCTTCTATAGGTGCTGCTCGTCAAAAGATTGGCAAAGAAATCAGTGAGTTGAATGAAAAATTGAAAGTGTGCAAAGATGCTATCCAACAAATGAAAGCTGAAATAGCAAAGCTTGAACAACAAGAAATTGAGGGACCAGAACAGAGTATAGCACCAACTGTTGTACAATGAGAGAATCAAGACTAGTGCTCTCTTCAGCAAGCTCTTAAGCATTGGTTTTTGCAAATAATCAGGGTGTTTGTGAAAGTTTAGTGTCACAGATTCATAGGTACTTCTTGTTTTGGTTACAATAGCCTACTTGAGAGGGGCTTTGCCCATCATATAGTACGTGGTAAAGATCTGTTGACGTCAGAAGTGGATATGTAAATAGTGAAAACTGTAATGAAGAACTTTTAAGTTCTGAGGTGCAATGTACACCCCAATGCATGTTTTGCTATTATGATGTAAATAATATATTGACTGGAAATGAGATGATCTCTGTGTGTGTTGTATTTTGTTTTTACTTTTTTGTCGCTAATCTGCAAGCAGACCAGATGGAGCATGCAGATCTAAGGAAAATATATGATAAAGTTTACAAGTTATAAACGTCAACTTTCTTCTTCCATCCTTCCCTCTTTTATTCAGTGGCTTACTTATCACGCAGTGCATTAGTTTTACCCTGGGAAGGGTGAGAGATTCTGGGATGGGATTACATGGTTGTCAGGGGGAGTAAAGGGGGATCAGTAGTCACTAAAATTGACTGCCACTTAACTGTCAATAACAGGGGATCAATAGAATATCAAAGAACCTTGGATGGGAAATCAGGTTAATTTTACTGTAAAATATTGAAAAATTCTCCAGGTCTAGCCAAGGTGTAACAGTACCCTCCCCTTGTGGTGAAACGGAAGCGAGGGAACATCTACGCAAACCTGACACTAATCGTGTTCCGTGACGTCACTCTAATTTATGCAACATAATGTCACTTAATAATATTTCTGTGCGAAGTTACACGTGTTAGCGTGAAGGTTATCGAGATAAACAACTTTAAAGTGAATTCGTTTTCCATTTTTCGGGTAAATTTGCAATTCAGCGTCCGAGTTCAGATGTATACTTTGCTTTAAGATAAAGGAAAAGATCATGAGCAATTTCTGATATAGAGTAAGAGGAGGACGATGTTCGATTAACATGACAATTACGAAACTAGATTTCAACGTCCATGCGGTTTCTGCTTGCATTTGTAAACAGTGCCACGGCCGTAGAAAAGAATTGAATCATTTGCCGCAGAATCTCAAAGATTTCAAAGATTTCTTTCAGAGATGATTACCCTGAAAGCGTGAAGAAAGAGCGACTCTTTTCTCGGTCGAAAGATCGCTGCAAGAAACAACTAGCTTTAATTTAGCTTCGTAGCACCGTTCGCAAAGAGACCGAAAGTTGAAGACGGACAATCCTCATGGTCCAAGTACATTAAGATAGTGCACCTGGTCTCTTGTTAGAGCTTTAACGGGCGGCACAATAAATATAGTGACTGCTTTCTTCTTGGGAGGAGAGGCGATCGATCACTGGCGCTGCTTGATATAATAACTGATTTTCCATAACCAGTTGGTAACGAAACGGAGACATCGTTACCTTCGAAAAACATATCGGTAAAACTTCCGCACAGCCTCATACTACATTATGCATTCAGTTCTTGGATAGAGATAACAATGGGAAACAAATTTGTTTTACAATAGTATGGGGCTGTGCGGAAATTTTACCACCATGGAAACAGTTTGTTTATCATCTTGTTCGTTACCAAAAGGGGTTAACTAATAAAAATCTTTACTTAGAGTGACGTCATGGAACACGATTGGCGTAGACGTTGCCTCGCCTTTCAATGGTCGCTATTTTGGGGTGTCTGTTTTGGTGACCATACCGCAGGAAAGGAGCCAAAATGACCCTGGGCTCGAAAATTGCAGGCTATAATTGGACAACTGGTCATCTGGGAAGTAGATCTCGCTGGGAACACGGACTTTCACGCAACGGTCTTCAATCGCTGTTTGTAAACCATATTAATATTTCGAAGGGCTAAACTGCAGAATATCCAGACTTTCTTTTTGGTAAGTTGGTGCAATTCTACCCGATCAGATCCTTCTCTCCAACCGTGCAGTAGTGTAAGTTCAAAAAAATTCATTCGATGTCTAGATTTATAATCAAATTCAGAGCTCGCACCAACGTGACAGATCATGATGTTTCATTCACAAAGGTAACGAAACCTTTTTTCGATGGAATTGTGCAGAAAAAGAGTCTGTTCCGATGATAGTGAGCGGAATACGTTCACCATGTTCGGCGAAAATAATTTCTTACTTTAGAAAAGTGCATTGCACAGTTGAAGGAATCTTAAATCATCTTAAGCTTTACCCCTTAAAATTGCAGCACAATTTATGAACCATCTTAACGATAATGAAGGCTTATTAGGAGAATTTCAGTCTGCATATAAATCTCATCACAGTACAGAGACTGCGCTTGTGAAAGTTCAAAATGATATTTTGAAGGCTACTGACAGTAATAGATCGGTTAATTTTCTATTGCTTGATTTATCGGTTGCGTTTGATACTGTCGATCATTCGATTTTGCTATCAAGACTACAGAATCGTTTCGGTATTAGGAACGATACCTATCCCAGAGTACTACTAAGGCTATTGTTCAAGCTTACATAACATCGCGTTTGGACTATTGTAATGCCCTACTGTATGGTCTCCCGAAGTATCTGATTAATAGACTTCAGCTCGCCTTGCTACCTTGACTAGAAGGCAGGAACATATCACACCAATACTAAGGAGCTTACATTGGCTGCCAGTTCATTATAGGATAGTTTTTAAAATATTGTTGCTGACTTACAAAGCTCTGAATGGACTGGCCCCAGATTACATTAAAGACCTATTGAAGTATAATGACTCTCGTCGCCCACTAAGATCTTCAAACAACAGGTTGCTTGATGAGCCTAGGGCGAATCTTAAAAATGTATGGTGAAAGGGCTTTTTCCGTGGCGGCACCAAGGCTCTGGAATAAACTACCACTACAGATCAGGTTTTCATCATCAGAGGCAGTTGTTAAGGCTAATCTTAAGACTTATCTTTTTATGTGTGCATTTGATTTGTAGTTTTTACTCGTAGTTATAGTGTATTTAATTCTTGGATTTTAATTTTTACGGTTTTTAGAGTATTGTAAAGCACTATGGACAATTAATGGAAGATGGCACTATATAAATGTATTTAATTAATTAATTAATTAATTTCCGATTTTTAGTAATGAAGCTAAACTCGATATGGAATCTGTACAATATACTGTACATCCGATCGACATGTGATCAACTGCACTCATTCACTTGTACTTGTAAACTTCTACAAAAAACAATTTGGCTGTAACTTTGTTATGAATTTATTATTTCAAAAACTCTCAAAAAGAGTTTAGAACGTCAACATCATGGACAGAAAGAAGCTACAATGTAGTCCAAAACCTCTCATAATTTTTCCTCATTCAAAATGACTTATGAAATATTCAATGAGTATTCTCAAAGTTTAATAATATGTGTAGCTTTGATTATCATAATTAAAGCATTTGACTTTTAAAGTTGCTCAGACCTGTTTGTCTTTCTTTGTGCATTTCTTTTTTCTCTGTTTAGACCTAAGCCTGAGTCATTTCATATCTGGAAACCTGGAACTAAATTTTAAGCATGACTTTTTCTTTTTTAGTCTTCATTTCCTCTAAAAAGAGGACAAGAAATTAAAATTACAATGGACAAAGGTAAGTAACTACAGATAAATTGATATCAATTGAAAGTTATCTCAACAAAGTCAGTTTGACTTGATCAATGCTCGGTTTTGATGAATGAATGGCAAGACAGAAAAAGAGATACTTACCTGGTGTGTTGTTTGTTCAATAATTTGACCAAAGAGTGATAATTTTTTTCAAGTCTCCCTTTTTTAAAAAAAAAAAAAAAGGTTCATCGCCAATTTGCGATGTTTGGCTAAATTTTAGTTGCCGATTATATTCTTAACTCACCATGGCAACCCAAATGGTTGCAGCTTAGAGTGCTACCGTTAATTTAGGTCCAATTTATTTTGAAGAAAAAAAAATTCTTGTAGGTGGTGTCACACTTATGCATAGAGTGGTCATATACATGTCTACTTAGTATTTGTGGATGAATACTAGCATACTAAAACCGGGACGTTTCAAATTCATCTTGACTTTATTATCAAGTAAAAGGATGACAGTTGTATACCCAGGTAAAAATATAAGGTGAGATCCCGCCAATCTCACCTGGGATCCCGGGTGGGATTATGGAACATCCCGCATGGGATCCCACACGGGATTATGGAACATCCTGCATGAGATCCCACCCGGGATTATGGAACATACCGCATGGGATCCCACCTGGGATTATGGAACATCCCGCATGGGATCCCACCTGGGATTATGGAACATCCCGCATGGGATCCCACCTGGGATTATGGAACATCCCGCATGGGATCCCACATGGGATCCCGCCAATTGAAGTTGGGATCCCGCCTTAAATTCCTAATAGCATCCCACCTGGGAAAGCACATCCCGGGCGGGATTAAACCTAGAATCCCACCAATCCCTCTTGAGATCCTGCCTCAAATTTCAGATAGTTTCCCACCTGGGAAATCATATCCCAGGCAGGATTGCATCTGGGATCCTGCCAATCCCAGTTTAGACCCTGCATAAAATTACAGATGGCTTCCCACTTTCAGAAAAATCCTTTGAGGGATCCTGTTTATCACTGGAGACCACAGATTTATGAAATGTACCAGATAGGATATCTTATCAATTCCTTTTGTAACTTAATCCTTAAAATTAAGAGGTGAGCTATAGACCCCATCAATCCACTGAGGGTCCAGAACTTTCCAACTAGCTATAGAACATACTGACACCTCCAATGGGATCCCACTGTCTTACCAATTTGTTGATCATAAATGATTCAAACAGTACATGAATACACAGACTATATGTGATAAAGATTTCATAATTTATTTGCAATGAACCAGCATGTGTTTGACTTGTTTCATTAACAAATTTCTTAACCGAACATTTTTAAAGAATAACAGCACAACTCAGCATATTACTTTTTCTTCATCATTTAAGCAGACCATCTACAGTGTAATAAGGCTCAAAGTTAAAAAAAATTGGCTGTTGTGTATCAAAGAATAGAAGAAAGACAAAACCTCAATAATTCATGTTATCAAAATTTTGACAAAGGTACTGATTGAAAGTCTGCTCTCTCTTCAGTCGAATTTTTCAAAGCAAAGCAAGGTCAGAATGTTCCCAAATGTGACTAAAGTACTAAACCTTACTCATAGATTTATTTCATTGTAAAGTGTAAGCTTAGGAAACTGCAGCATGAAAGTGACCAATTTGATTCTCAGTAATATTTGAGTTTCAGTTGCGCTGAGCGTTATGTAAGCTTAATTCAAGCCGTTATTTCTAT